AAAACATTTAATCACTATGTGTACACCTGAAACTAATATAGTTTTGTAAATCAACTATACTTCAATTAAAAATTATTCAGTTAACTAATTAGTTAAAACATAAACTCAGTTTAAAGGGTCTCAGCTCGGGTATACCGGCAACTTACAATGAAAGATAGATCACCATGGGAAACTGCACCTTGTCTCAGTAAAAAGGTATTCAGAGATGCTTTTTATAGAAGATGGACTTAACACTGGGTGATTTCAGAATGGTTCAAAGAAAGTGCGGTTTTGCTGGGGAATGGATGCTATCAGAAAGACCAGACAATTCTGATTTGTATCAATAATTTTGTTGATATCTAGGAGGTGTCAGAAATGGTGTCAGACTAAGCTATATGGGTAAAAAAGCAGAAGTCACTCATAAGAGCAGGGAGAAGAGGATGTTTAGTTATCTTTGTGGCATGGAAGTGTCCTCGTTTTTGTGCGCTGACATGCTTATGGTCACAGAGTGACCTGCCTGTTGATGGTGTTCTGTGAAATGGTTTATGTTCAACAGGAGAGCACCATGGTCAAGCTGTAGAGCCTGGCCAGCTTCCAGCCCATAGTAGTCAGGTGCTGCTTTTTTCTTCCTCATTTATGCAATGTACAAATACAAGTAAAACTTATCTGTTATAAGGCAGGAATGTGGTTATCCTTGTGGGGGACAGTGGTAAACAAAGGAGTTTGGAATGCTGAAAAAGTTCTGTATCTTGATCTGGGTGCTTACAGAAGTGTATTCCATTTGTAAAAATCATTAAGCTATACAATTGTAAGTGTATCTCAATAAAAAGTGAAAATTAAGAAGTAACTGATTTTCTCTTGTAAGACTAGTCATGAAGAGGGGAGGGAAAGAACACTCTTGCCATCCTATACTATTTGATTGTGTAACCCATCAATGCATTATTCTGATATAACATTTTTAAAAATATTTCAAAATAAATGTTTTATTGTATAAAAAGACCCTTGGACATAAGTCCCTTACACTACTCTTAGAAAATATTACATGTAGAACTATAAAAGTCCAACACAGTCTTAGCTGTATAAAGTCTTAATTTACATTGGAGTTAACCTACGATGGAGTTAATTTTGACTACATTTTTCTCCTGGGCACAAAATCTGTACTGTACTTTAGAGAACTGTGGAAACAGAATGATTAGGCACAAGTACAAGATTTGGTCTCACATTCTCTTTCCAGGGGAAGCCTCAACTTACATGGCTATTATTTTGGTTTCTGAGCCTGGATCAGGATTGAGTATATTTTGTTTCGATTTTTTTGGTTAACATATCTAATAGATTTGGAGCACCTGTATGTACAGATACATTAATTGGCTTTGTTTATTGTGATGCCTTGATGACTTCTTTAACAATTAGCCAAAGATACAGGCAAGATCTGCCTATAAAGTGTACCCAAATCCGGCCAATACTTATAGTTAAAAGAAATGCATCATGTTAGGAAGTGAAAAAGAAAGTTATTCTTTTTACACCAGGCAAGAGTGCTACACAATTTTATCTGTCTGGATTTCAAAATAAAAATTGTTTGAACGTTTATTATGACCATGAAACTTAAACCAGGAAGTGGCCACCACTGCTTCCACAATGCTTGACACAGCGATGATTAAAAATATTTTGCTCACAGCAGATACTTGAACACTGCTAATGATTATTAATGATTTCTTTTTTACATTCCCCTGGGAAGAAGATGAAAATCAGTTCATCTCTTATATGCAGTATACCTTAACAGGTCCAAACTCTTCAGAAATATATTATCATCTGAATTAGAGAAATCCAAGTACCATGTGAACTGCCATATGGGTACAAACATTCCATCATATAGGTAACATCTTGGTAATGGTCTCCACTGATAAAATTGCTCACATTGTATTGTAAACCTTTCAAGCTTAACTAACTAAAGATGATGGGACTTACATGAAGATAAACAAAAAACCCGGCCACAAAAATAATCAAATCAACATTGCTCAAGGAAATATCCCACAGCCTATTAAGAATAAACTGCTGGCTTTATAGCCACTATATACAAAGAAAGAAAATCAACAACTGAATACCTTCTTCACTTTACTAGAAGCAGCATATTCCACACCTGAAGATTTTAGTACAACCTAATAATTTATCTGGTCAACAAACATGTGGCTAAGTTTGAATGGCAGCTCCTGTAAAAGCTGCAAGTGCCAACTCTGGAAGTAATCCAAGCAGTTGTAAACCAATCCTTGTCTTTGAGCCCTATATCTTTCAGATGCACAGAATTACAGATGTCTACAAAAAAATCTCACAGATAAGAAAATCCAATGGAATGCTACAGCCATCCACTATCCATAGGTAAAACTTTTGGCAACCTATAGCATGGAATATTCTGTACAATGAACTGGCTTCAAGTAGTGCTCTTGGCTATAAAGCATGTCACCCTGAAAATAACTGAAATATACCAGTACAGAGATTCATGGGTCAGAACTGGTGAGCTAGCTTAGGGTTTCTCAACCTCAGTACTACTGACAAATTGTACTGGAAAATTATTTGTTATGAGGAGATGCCCTGTACATTTTAAAGATATCCTTGGAATAGACGCACCAAGTTGTTACAACCAAAAATGTCTCCAGTCATTGCCAAATGTCCCCTGGGGGACAAAATCACTACCATTAGAGAACCACTGGTCTAGCTGTGTTCAGGCCATTAAGCTGCCTAGACTCAACTGGGCTACCAAAGACATACCTATATGGAGAACCACCCTCTAGAAACAGATACAGCAATTAATCACAAGGTTAATCTTTATGTTGCACATACATATGCCTGTATGAAGCAGTCGTGCCTAAAGTGAAGAATTTGGTCTAAAAGAGCCAATCAAGAATGTTTAGCTATCATCTCTACTATAACTCTCGAATACATACTCAAGCCCCAGATGGAAATGAAATAACTGTAAAGGATTAGAATGATTAATAAAAATAATTTTGGCATCTATTGCTAGTAAAACTTAAACTATTTGCCAACTACACTAGCCTCTCCTCCAGCAACTTCTACATAGATAGCTGGTCAAGCAGTCTTCAGCTATTTGACAGTTGCAAACTTCTACATCTAACTTCTGCCTTGGCTGAGCTACTAGGAACACAGGAAACAGAAAATTTAAAACAATGAGACTTTGACGAAGAATTGTACCTTGCTCTTCTTTTTGATCAATACATATTTGAGGGGATTTTTGAACTGCATAAATTTGAGGAGGAGAAGTACATTCTATTCCTATTACTTGTGCCTGTTTTGACATCACTATGTAGAAAGCAGTTCGTGTTGCTTAGATTAAGAACACTGGGACGTAAATGAACTTGGACACAGGCTTTGTTTTACGTCTTTCTAGGACAACCATCCTCTGTCCCCACAGGAAATGTATGACGACAAATGGCTATTCATGAGGAACTCAAAACTGCAGAAAAGGACAATCTGAAGTATACTCAAAGGGGATAACAGACTTCAACTGATGTGACGTGAACATATGCGACTCTGGACTGAAGGTGGAAAAAGTAAGGTAGGGGCAGAGGTAACGCTCTTTTTCTCAATGAAGTGAACAGAAATTAACAAATTGACCCAAACAGCCCTGAACAACTATCTGGAATAGTGTTTCACTGTGTGAACAAATCATGATGTAGAATATTATCATTTTTTACCAGATCCAATTTTAGGGGACCTTGTCAAACTCCATTCTCAGAAAATGCAGCAGATATGGCTAAAACCTAATACCAATAAGAGCTCATCGAGATATATTTAAAGAGCGCTCAAGGGTCAGCATACAGACTAAAGGGAGTCAAATCCAGATGATCCTAAAGGTTCATTTCCACCCCCTTTAAGATAGCATAGCAAGAGGTAGCTCAACAGATCTGAATTAGCTCCAGGAAAGAACAGACTGAGACCAGAGACTGAACCCCAGGAAGTAAGTCCAGGTTATATCGGCAACAATCCCACTACTAGGGTTCTTTCCATAACATATCAATCACTGCTAGGCTAAGCATACCTATTTGTGGGATAACAGGTGATCAGTAAATAGTACATTCTTTGCTATTTCTCTGCTTTGCCCCCAGTAACTCCAATTTTCTAAACTTTGTGGTGCTAGCAAAGTGTGTGGTGTAAGTAAGTGTATGTACTTATATATAAGTACATGTCTATGACATTTTGCACAACAAGCTCTTACATAACTTTTCTAATATCAAAGTCTGGGTTAGGTACCTGCACAGAAAGGAGGTAACATAACAGTCCTAAGACCAGTATCCTTAGAGAGGCCTGCTTGCAAGGTTGGCCCATAACCATTGTATGGGAATTTGGATTTTGTTAAGGTTCTCACCATTCCCAGAATAGGTAAGAGTGGCTCACTGTGCTTAAGCTATTTGTTCAAACAATACGGTTTACGCTGAACACCTGCCTTCCTTTGGGGAGTCTGGAATTTTGCTACCTGCTAGACAGAGTGTGCTTACATAATAAGCCCCAATAAAAACTCTGGACACTGAGTCTCTAATAAGCTTCCTTGGTAGACAACTTTCATACGTGTTGTCACAACTCAGCCCTGGGGGAATTAGCACATTCTGTGTGACTCCAATGAAAGAAGACTCTTGGAAGCTTGCACCTAGGTTCTTGACTCCTGACTTCACCCTATGTGCCTTTTCTCTTTACTGACTTTGCTTTGCAACCTTTCCCTGCAATAAATCTAAGCCAGGAGTGCTGAATCCCTTGAGTCTTCCTGGTAAAATATTGTTCCTGGGAATGGTGTGGGAGACCCTAACATGGTGCCTCTTTTACAAAGGCACTTTAAGTTTTTTACTTGCTGTTACTATTATATTCTGATGACATTACTATAATACAGTCCCCAAAAAGTTTTCCTCTCTTTAGATTCACTGAAAAGACCAAAAATGTCAAAGTTAGTTAATGAAGTTAATTATTTTGGATTTAAAAAGTAGTTACTCTCTGGAAACTGTCAAATATTCATTTACCTTGAGCAACCAGATCTCGTCTCAATAATGGATAAAGAACAGGTTCTATACCATCCATTTCTTGTATAATAAGGGTTTTCCCAAAACGTACTGCCAACTCAAGAGCTGTGATAAAGTTACTATCCTAAGAGAATAAATAAGAATACATATGAATTCCTTTATTACCTTAGATTTACAAAAGTCCTTACAGATAATGAATGAAGCTATTAACAGCAATAACACAAATATGTTAAAATTAATATGTATGTTAACAATACAAATTATTCATGATTGCTTTTCCAGTTATAAGTACTTGGTGATGAGTCAATTTAGTTGAATAAATTATCAAATAAATTCATAAATAATTTAAATAGACATATTAGAAAAAAAGGATTTTTACATTAACAATAAAAAAGCCTTTTAAAATTTTCTACTATGATTTCAAATTGATGCAGAAATTTTCAAATTCTACATGCAATAAGTTACTCATCCAAGTATTAATAAAAACTACTTTGGGGGCTTCCCTGGTGGCGTAGTGGTTGAGAGTCCGCTTGCCAATGCAGGGGACATGGGTTCGTGCCCCAGTCCAGGAAGATTCCACATGCCACGGAGCGGCTGGGCCCGTGAGCCATGGCCACTGAGACTGTGCGTCCGGAGCCTGTGCTCCGCAACAGGAGAGGCCACAACAGTGAGAGGCCCACGTACCATGGGAGAAAAAAAAAAAAAAAAAGAAAACAACTACTTTGGTTGTATTCAATATCACATTGAATGGAAGAAGAAAGACAAGACGATGAATTCTAGTAAACTTACCTTGATGTGATAGTTCTAATTACTGTAAAAAGAACCTTTAGATAAAATTCTATAACCATTCAAGAATTTTTAGGCTTTCTGGCTAGGTAAAGAGTCATTTTAAATACCACTCTAAGCCTCCAACTGTGGTTAAAAAAATTTTAAATATTTGGATAATAATTATTAAGATCTCCTACTACAACCATAAGTGGCATTAAATATTTTATATATTATATAAAGATATTACAATTATTCTTAAACACAAGTGAGTTAGATATCCCCATTTTGTAAGTGAAGAACATTTTAAAGAGTTAATTTTTCAAGCACCTGAAGCATATCTACAAAAATTAATCATACACTAGGCCTTCCCCGATAAAAAAAAAAAAAACTGACCAAAAATAATTTCTTTGGTGAGATAAACATGACAGTGAAAAGTCACTACACAAAACACGATGGTTACATTTCATTGACCAACTGTCAAATCTTTGTACACAACAAAGATGCTCATTGATGAGTTACAGGAACAGGAAATTAAAAAGTCAAGGAGGTTTTCCTAATTCTCCAAACTAAGTAACTTACTTCTATAGCATCCTATACTTGTCTTTAATCATAATTTAGTGTAAATGCTTATTTGTTTAGTGTAAGTAATTACTTAATTTTCATCTCCATGAGGGCAGGAACTACTCACTTATAAATTCCCAGGGCTTAGATCAACACCTTGCATATAGAAGCAATCAAACAAATATTCTTATTCCTTTTTACAAATTAGAAGACTAAAGCTAAGAAAGCTACATTTCCTTCCCAGGACCCATACCAGGTAAGTTATAAGACTCAGTTTTGAATCTATGTTTTCTGATTATAGTTCTTTTCACCACAAGATACCATTACTAGTTGGTATCTAAATTATAAGTAATACACACCTGCTGGTTAATAACTTCCAAATGTGAGTCTTTCAAATGTGTCTTTAACCATTCTGTAGCTTGGGAAGAAGGGTCTACAAGAAATGGGCAAACTCGACTCTAATTAAAAAAAAATAAAGATTATAAGCTTTCATTAAATGAAAATAATTTCCTAAAAATTATTAATCAATTAATGAGTGAGTTTTTCTCTCAGGCTTTAGAGAACACAAATATACAACTACAATGAGGAAATAAGGGTACAGTTTTTAGCGGCACCAGAGGTTACATTAATCAATTTTACCAGTAATTAATACTAGGTAATTAAATTTAACCACAGTAAAGTGAATATAGTCTTATTTACTACACAATAACACATAAAATGTATATTAACAATACAGTAAGCAGGAGTTCTAGTCCTAAGTTGATGCCATTTGTACCTCTCTTTTTGGTTTTAAAATACACAGCCAAGTCATTCCCTAACTTTAGATATTCTTTGGTTGAATAAACCATAGAGGCCTTACAAGAGAAGTATGAGCTAATCATAAAAGTATCGTTGAAATAATTAGCAATAAAATTATTTCTATTTCAAGACTAATTTCTCTAAAGTACTACATAGTTAATATTACAAAAGGAGTATCCTAGAAGAGAAAATTACATAAGATGATAGGTTAAGATCTAACAAACTAGGAACTAAACTCATTACAGAACGCCTTGCACTAATTAAACTCTGAAACAGAAAATTAGAAACCTGGCATTGTGCCCTATACATACAATGCCATTTAGCAAATTAAAGGAAGCCAATTATACATTTATACATCTGATCAATTTAAATAGATGTAAATATATTTAAATAAATTTTAAACCATCTAACAGTCATTGTTACCTAGCAAATTAGATTTAAATAACAGCTGACCTTATTTTTCTTAAATTTTCACATTTATTTGAAAAATGTAATGCAGTTGTGTGCTATAGGGATAAAATAACACATGAAAGTCACAGTGAAGTGAAGACTTAGAACTGGGGTAGATCTAATAAGAACATGGATGTTATCTTAGTGGCATACCAAGAGGGAGAGGGATGGTGGGAATCACATGCCCTGGGGATTAACAGCATTTTATCAGAAATGCTGTTTAAAATTGCCAGCACATGGTGATAATAAAGAGCTGACTGACTTTAAAACAGCTTTATTATTGTTTTAAAACTCTCTCTAGACAATGCGGCCTCTTTTTACCTGCACCCAGAATGGACCACTCCCACCACAGCTCCACAGTGCTACCCCACTGTATGATCTTCCCCCAGCATCTATTTCTGGAGGCATCCAGAAATAGCAAAATAATATGGCTAGCAAATAGCTTCTTAAGTATTACCGAAGTATTACACCTAGGTTTTAGATCTCATTTTATGCTAGCATTCAATAGCAAACATTCCACAAGTAAACTAGATTTTGCCTAACCACAAAAATAACTATTTTAAATTTTAAAAAAGTTCTTACCCATGATTTCAAACCAATGATCTGATGCAGTTAAAAAGAGAATAAGATAATGTTTCAAAAAATCATGTTTTTAGCATAGAATATATGCTTAAGAATTTCAAAGAAGGGCTTCGCTTGTGGCGCAGTGTTTGAGAGTCCCCCTGCCGATGCATGGGACACGGGTTCGTGCCCCGGTCCGGGAAGATCCCACATGCCACGGAGCGGCTAGGCCCGTGAGCCATGGCCGCTGAGCCTGCGCGTCCGGAGCCTGTGCTCCGCAATGGGAGAGGCCATAACAGTGAGAGGCCCGCGTATCGCAAAAAAAAAAAAAAAAAAAAAAAGAATTTCAAAGAATACTTACAAGTTTGTGTTCATCTTATTTATACTTCTCCAGAGATTTAGAGAAGACCTCTGAGGTATATTTTAGGTCTGTGTTCCATGATTAAATGTGGTAAAATTCTACATTTAACAAATTATAGTAGATCTAAAAATAGTGAGCTTTCATTCATTCATGCTAATCATTCATCTACCATATGTTGATTAATGATTATAATAAGACAACACGAGAGATACAAAAATTAATAAGATACATTCCCTTACCTTCATTGGTCACAAATCTAATAAAGAAGCAAAAAAACGAAAATTTTTTCAATCAAAAAGGACACAAAATTCTATAGGTGGATCACAGGCAGAGTTAGGAGAAGCTGCTAGGAAGCAATTCAAGTCAAACTAGGTCAAAAAAAATAGGACTTGGCCAGGCAAAGAAGTAAAAAAAGCAAATTAGGCCAAAACAACAGCCTGATTGAGAGAAGAATGAAAAGCTGGGAGTATCTGGAAAACTACCAGTAGTTTGGCATAGTTGGAATAAAAAGTATAGACAAAGATGATGCATATAAAATGGCAGGAGTAATCAGAGGTCTTTCTGATCATGAAGAGCATTTTATGCCATGTTTAAGGATAATGAAATTTTTATACTGCAGGTAGTGGGTAGTCACTGAAATATATTAATCAAGGAACTGTGATGATCAGATTAACATTTTAGGAGGATCACTCCAAAATAAAGGAACTGATACAGGGGCAGGGGACCAACTGCTATAATAATGTATTTATCCAGGTACAACATGATGAAGGCCTAAGTGAAGCCACTGGCAGTAGATGTGGTTAGAAGAGAATGAATTCATGACACATTTGAGAAGTAGATTTGACAAGGCTTGCTGAATAACTAACTGAATGTAAAAGTAAAGAGACATAGTAAGAATGAGTTGCAGATTTGCAGTTTGCATTACTGGACCAAGACTGTGACATCTCCAGTGTTAGGAAATAAAAGAGAAGCAGGTTATAGGGAGTGGGTGAGAAAGAGAAACAATTATTAAAGTACATAGCTACCTTTGCCTAGCATGCATGCCCCACTCAATGCATTTCTCATGGGATAATCAATCATCTAGCACTGCACACAAGAGATGAGCAGGTGACCCAAACTAACCAATCAGAATCTTTCTGGGGAAGTAACAAATACTGGAAAGGAAGGGAAGAGATATCTTTAGTCTGAGAACATAAATTGTGATAATGGTAAACCTGGAGTCGCCAATGTCTATCCTTAACACAGGGTAGAAAGAACCTATCCAAGAATAAATCCATCTCTTAAGATGGAGAGGGAGAGAGATGTCCTGGTAACACCATTCGAATCCTGAAGCTAGTCCCAATCTTCTGAACACCTCAGTTATTTAAAAGCATAAGTTGCTTTTTTTAAGGAAAAAGAAAAAAGTACTAAAGTTGGCCACTAAAAGATTCTTGACTAAAAGTTTTTTTAAAAAATGATTAAAGACAGAGCTTGAGCTACCTACAAAGCTCCAGGTAACAATATCTAACAGGAAATTAGAACAACAGAGCTCAAAACAGAGGTCAAAGGCTAGAGACACATGATATCTATTGGCAAAAAAAAAATGATTAGGTAGTGGACATTTTTGAAAGCGATTATTTTTTTTCTTCCAGTTTTACTGATATAACTGACACACAACACTGTGTAAGTTAAGGTGTATAGCATAATGATCTGACTTACATACATCATGAAATGATTATCACAGTAAGTTTAGGGAACGTCCATCATCTCATACAGGTACAAAATTAGAGAAATAGAAAAAAATTTATTTTTCCTTGTCATGAGAATTCTTAGGATTTGCTCTCTAAGCAACTTTCATATATAACATACAGCAGTGTTAATTATATTTATCATGTTGTACATAACATCCTTAGTGCTTATTTATCTTATAACTGGAAGTTTGCACTTTTTGACTTTCATCCAATAAGAAAAAGACTATTTTTAAAACATCTATAAAACTCTATAATTTTATTTTTATTTTTAATAACCACAAGTGGGATAAGAGTAGAAACATTTTGTAAATAAAACTAAAGCTCATCTTTTGATAAGATAAGGAGAATTATATTAACAGGAATAACATAAAATAAATAAGTTAAAACATATACAGAAAAACACATATCTTGGAGAGGCAGCCTTACAGCATAGACTGCCTAGATGGCACTGTTTGAATCTTGGCTCTACCTCTTGACAGCTCTGTGACCCTGAACAAGAAACTTAATCCTTTTGTATCTCAACTTCCTTATCTACAAAAAGGGATAATACATGTACCTACTAAATAGGGTTGATTTGAAAATTAAATGAGTTAAGAGTTTAAGTGCTTTACTTGTATTAATTCTTAAATAATAATATATGAAAAACATAGTAAGTACATTTAAGTGTTGATTATTGTTATGCATTTGGGATTTAATGAAAAAATGTTTTCCCTATGCAATTTACCTTTACAATTTTATGTTCTTTAGACTAATAGCAAATTAGTTTGCATTTCCTCAGCATACACTAAATGGCAGGAAAGGAAAAAAAAAATCTCAGAAATTGAGTGGTATAAAGAAAACTAATTTGACACTGAACTGTCCATAAACAATAAAAAAAACATACCTAGTACATCTTCACAAGAAAAATTTATAATACTGTGAAATTTAAACCAAGAAAAATTTACAAGACTGTGAAATTTAAATTAATCATATTTTCCATCTTCTTTCTGGATGCTTTCACTCACACCTCTCCATAGTGTCTCATACTCTCCATTTATCCCCTGAGTTCCACAATATTACAAAGATCATACAATTATCTTCCAAACAAGGACACGTTTGAGAGTAAAGAAAAAATTATTAATAATTACATCAGGAGAACAGGTGTAAATCATAGTCCAAGCAATCCAGGACATCACGGTCAAGATTTTCCCCTGCTCCTCAAGGACATAGGTCATATGAGCTTTCTGTGGCAGATAATTATTTGACTATTTCCTCACCCAGATAACACATGTTCTTCAACAGTTAGCTTAAAACAAATATGAGAATTCCAAGCATCTTTTGTTGTAAGACAAGGAATAATTTTGGACATAAAAGGCTATCCTTAGCACCAATAAGGGATTGAGCGACTATAGCCCTTGAATCTGGGAAATCCCGCACTGAATCTCTGAAAAACTTTATTGTAGTTAATGAGGAGACATGCTATATCTCTGAATCAAAAATACATTTAATTCATCACACCTAGTCATTTTTTTCTCAGGGAAGACTCCCAGAAACCCAATTTGTACATATTTAGACATCTAACTTCATATCACATGGTAATGTTAATGAGTAGATGTTATAGACTTGTTGTATCCAACCACACACGCAACTACAACAGTTTATTCTAAATCTAGTCCACCTTAGAATTAAGATAAAATGTTAACCATAATGGAAAATTCATTTCAACAAAATGACTAATTACTCTAACAAGTTTGTGCAAATGGTTTTGTTTTGTCATATAAATGCATATGTGTCTGTAAGAAACTTGGCAATATTAAATACAAAGTAAACTAAGCTTGTCATTAAAATTAATTTCAAAGACAATATCCCCCAAATTCATCATGAAAGACAATTTAATTCAGAATACAAAAGTAAATATTTTCAATTACTATTAACAGTAAAAAATAAAAATTATTGTGATATATTTTTCCTAAAAGCCTCTGATTTGTTATGGAATAAAAAAGAAAAATTCTTAAACTAGTATTTTTTTTTTTAATCTGCAAACAATTGCTTTCTTGGAGTACTGAAAAAAGGAGTGACTATGAAACCTTGGGAAAGGAATAACAAATATGATAAAAAGTACTAGGTTGTAATGAATTTATTTACATACACATTTAGAGTTCCAGATTTGTAATTCTAGTGTGAAAAATAATAATAAAAATGTTTAAAAAATAAATTAAAGTTTAAGCCAAATCAAATTAAAAGAAGGCAAAATTGTGTAATCTTTGTTCAACGACTTCTATGCTAGTAAGACACCAATGTATAGAGTCAAAGCATAGTCAGCTGATTAACAGGTCAAATCAAACAGAATAAGTTATCCAGGAATGAACAGGGACCACAATTCATACTCACAATATGAATCATATAATAATACAGCTTACACTACCTAAGGAGAAGCATTTAATGTTTATATTTTCTTTGAGATGTGGAGTTATGAGATAAAGAAATGGTGTGTGGACAGAGAGAAGGGTTGTAGAGAGGAAAGAAAAAACTGGTAATATAGAGTATAAACTGTTGAGATAAAAAGAACAGAAAAAACAAAACATATTTTCAAGGGAGAAATGTTATCTTCCAAATCCTGTATCAGAAAGGTAAACTAAAGTAATGGTAAAAAAAATCAAACTTCATACAAAGAAATGATTTGCTTGTATACAAGATTTTGAATTTGGTTTTCACACTCACTGCTAATTAAGGTATAATTGTTTCAACTTTAAATAATTATTTTTTGGAAACATATACTATGTAAAAGAACAATTTTCCAAAATATGCACATGGTTATCTTTAACTTATAACCCAAAACTCATCCATCTTCACTTTCCATAACTTTGTAAAACAAAATAAAATAAAAGTATAAAATTCTTATTTTTAAAATATACTCTAGATGAAAGAACTATATAACCAAATGAATCAAGTACCCCTAAAACATTTCTATTATTATCAGGAAGTTCAATTTAAAATATTTTGCCATCAAAATGATACCATTTTTATTTATACTTTTGTATTAAGGTAAAAAATAAATTACACTGAAAATTTTAGAGATGCTACCTGAATCACAAATGGATTTTTATTAGCAAAATATTTTTTACTTTTACTTAACTAAGACTAACTGTGAAAGCCTAAGGATTTGAAGAAGGTAGTTCATGGAGCAAGCTTCAAAAAAAAACATTTCTAATGAGAAGATTAAAGTAGATTAATTACCTGCAAGATAACAAGAGCATTTTCTATGGAAAGGTCATCTGATGGTAGGCCTTCACTTTTCCAAATTAACTGTTCACTTTCAGTACAAAGAAACCTCCTCAGATCAAATTCTGAAAAATTAAGATATCAATAATACTTTGCTACAATAATCTTATGCTTGATAAAAGAAAGGGAATAAAATTGTTTATAATATACTCAAACAAAAGTCCCATGATCATTCTTAATACACAATCCGTTCTTCTGCATTTAGAATCAGAAACTAAAGAGAAAAAAAGTTTTAAAAAGTGCAAAGGAATGAAACTCAAATTATATTTCTTCTATCAAATGAATGTTTCACAACTATAATAATTTGCGAAAACCACAAAATTCACAAAGAATTTTGGAATTCCTACATCTCATCTTACCATACAAAATTAGTGTAAAAATTAATAAAATGTTTAACTGCATTCATACAACACCAAAATAATTCAGTGGTGTCAGTTTCAAAAAGAGATTTTATGGGTAGAAGAGTCATTATAATAAAGCGATTCTCAGAACATCTGTAGAATTTAGCAAATCTAAAGTAGCTATGGTATCCTTTAACTTACAGAAAATTTTCCCCATTTAAAAAAAAGTAAAATGACAAAAATCAAAAGATGTGCTTTTTAGTATACTGAAATTTCAAATTTATGAATAACTAAATACAAACTTTCAAGACCAGCTGACTTGGTCCATTCTACCAAACAGGTTTTTCTCAGACCCTCAGGAGCAGCAGAAAGATATGTAATAAATGCAGCAGCTAGCTGAGCTCTTTTAGGAAGAGTAGCTAATTCCTCTGTTATCTCTGTAACCTGGAAAAAAAAGGAGAGAGAGAGCAACATATGGATATGTTCTAAGATAGAAAAAAAATATTGATAGCTTCACAAATTGAAGTTCTGACTATAGAAAAAATCATTTAATGGTTTAAAGTAATAACATGTCTGAACAAAATTGTCGAAATGTAAAAATACCAACAAGACCTCAGACCTTGCTGTGATATTAAAACAATGTATAAAATCCCAACATATCTGTAAAGAAGAATATATTTTGTCATTGAAATTTCCTAATAATTCTAATAAACACTGTGAATTAGCATCACTTTGAAAAACATGATTTAGATACACAGAGTATGAGCAAAGGTAAAAAACAAAAATTAAGCATGGAGACTCTTTAATTAGAAGCATAGTGTGGCTAATGCATAAGCCTGAGCAGAAAGAGTACCAAAATAGGAATAATGAAAAGAGAAACACAGAATTGACTGGAAGGAGGAAGATTTGAAAGTCTTCCCATGCCATGCAAAGTAGCTTCAGTTTTAACCTGCGGTAATAATGAGCCACTGAAAGTGTTTAAACAGAGCAGTGAGTGATGTAATGAGACTGGGTTTTAGAAAGATAATTCAGCTGACAAATAAGAATCAACTAATTAAAGGATCAGATAGGAGAAAGACAAGTCAGGAGAATTCAGGTGAAAAAAGAAAAAGAAGAGAATTAAGGAGGGAAGACAACTATGAGGGATATTTGCAAAGGGATACAAATTAATAGAAGGAGTCTAAGATAATCCACATATTTTTAGTTTTGATGCCTATAAGAAAGATGCCTTATGAGACATAGGAAATAAAAGAGATTTCATATGAGAAAAGAAAATAAGTTAATTTAGACATGTATTTGAGTTCCGGAGACAGCTGAATGCTAATATCTAAGGTATAGTTACAAATATGAATTTAAAAGTCAGCAGATTAGAAACATAGCTCTGGTCAGCATCATCATTTGGGTGATATTCTTAAGACTGGATGAGAATTCCTAGAATATCTGCAGAGAAAGGAGCTGAGGAAGAGAATACTGAGGGGGCAATCGACATTATTGGATAAGCAGATGAGGAGGATCCAGCAAAGGCAGGAATCTAACTGCTTAAAACAAAAACAAAAACAAAATCAAAACAAATGAACAAAAACAAGAGACAACACTTTAACAAAGTTGAAATAAGAGAGAATCTCAAACACAAATAAATAGCTGACAGTGTCAAATCCTAAGAGGACTGTCTTGGTAAAGGTAAGTCCAAACAAGGCTCTAAACAGTACTAAATTTTCCACAACTCATTTTTACCACTACCTTTTCCTAACTAAAAGAGGAATAGGATGCTTTGTCTAAAATCCATTCATATAGAGATATTTTGCTTAAAGACTAATTCACGGCAGAGCTTCAAGATGGCGGGGGAGTAAGACGTGGAGATCACCTTCCTCCCCACAAATACATCAGAAATACATCTACATGTGGAACAACTCCTACAGAACACCTACTGAACGCTGGTAGAAGACCTCAGACTTTCTAAAAGGCAAAAAACTCCCCATGTACCTGGGTAGGGCAAAAGAAAAAAGAAAAAACAGAGACAAAAGAATAGGGATGGGACCTGCACCAGTGGGAGGGAGCTGTGAAGTCGGAAAAATTTCCACGCACTAGGAAGCCCCTTCACTGGTGGAGACAGGGGGTGGTGGGGGGGAAGCTTCAGAGTCATGGAGGAGAGTGCAGCAACAATGGTGCGGAGGGCAAAGTGGAGAGATTCCCGCACAGAGGATCAGTGCCGACCAGCACTCACCAGTCTGAGAGGCTTGTCTGCTCACCCACAGGGACAGGTGGGGGCTGGGAGTGGAGATTCGGGTTTCAGAGGTCAGATCCCAGGGAGGGGACTTGGGTCCGGCAGGGGGCTAGTGCGCCTCAGCTAGACGGGAGGCAGTCCGGTAAAATGTCTGGAACTGCGTAAGAGGCAAGACACCATTGTTTCGTAGTGTGCAAGGAGACGGGATTCAGAGCACCATGTAAATGAGCTCCAGAGACAGGCGCAAACCGTGGCTATCAGCGCAGACACCAGAGATGGGCATGAGACACTAAGGTTGCTGCTGCCGCCACCAAGAAGCCTGCGTGCAAGCACAGGTCACTATCCACACCTCCCCTCCCGGCAGCCTGTGCAGCCCACCACTGCCAGGGTCCTGTGATCCAGGAACAACTTCCCCAGGAGAACACATGGCATGCCTCAGGCTGTTGCAACAAAATGCTGACCTCTGCCGCTGTAGGTTCAACCCGCATTCCGTACCCCTACCTCCCCCTGGCTTGAGTAAGCCATAGACCCCTAATACGCTGCTGCTTTAATCCTGTCCCGTCTGGGCAGGGAACAGATGCCCTCAGGCGACCTACAAGCAGAGGCAGGGCCAAATCCAAAGCTGAACCCCAGAAGCTGGGCGAACAAAGAAGAAAAAGGGAAATCTCTCCATGAAGCCTCAGGAGCAGCGGATTAAAACTCCACAGTCAACTTGACGTACCCTGCATCTTTGGAAAACCTGAATATACAATGAAACATCCCAAAACTGAGGCAGTGGACTTTGGGAGTAACTGCAGACTTGGGGTTTGCTTTCTGCATATAATTTGTTTCTGGTTTTATGTTTATCTTACTTTAGTATTTAGAGCTTATTATCACTGGCAGATTTACTTACTGATTTGGTTGAATTCTTCCTTTTTATACATATATAAATATTTTTCCTTTTTCTCCTTTTGTGACTATGTATGGATATGCTTCTTTGTGTAATTTTGTCTGTATAGCTTTGCTTCTATCATTTGTCTTAGGGTTCTGTGTGGCTTTTTTTTTTTTTTTTAGTATACATTTTACTGCTTGTTATCATTGGTGGATTTGTTTTTTGGATTGGTTGCTCTCTCTTTTTTTTATTACTTTTTTATTTTTTTGTTTTTAATAATATTTTTTACTTTTCAATTTAATTTTTTTCTTTCTTTCTTTTTTTTCTCCCTTTTCTTCTGAGTCATGTGGCTGACAGAGTCTTGCTGTTCCAGCCAGGTGTCAAGCCTGAGCATCTGAGGTGCGAGAGCTGAGTTCAGGACATGGGTCCACCAGAGACCTCCCGGCCCCACCCATAATATCAAACGGCAAAAGCTCTCTCAGAGATCTCCATCTCAACGCGAAGGCCCAGCTCCACTAAACAACCAGCAAGCTACAGCACCCTATGCCAAACAACTAGCAAGAGAGGAACACAACCCCACGTGTTACCAGAGAGGCAGCCTAAAATCATAATAAGGTTACAGACAACCCAAAACACACCAAAAGACGTGGTCCTGCCCACCAGAAAGACAAGATCCAGCCTCATCCACCAGAACACAGGCACCAGTCCCCTCCCCCAGGAAACCTACACAACCCACAGAACCAACCTTACCCACTGGAGGCAGACACCAAAAACAACAGGAACTACGAACCTGCAGCCTGCGAAAAGGAGACCCCAAACACAGTAAGTTAAGAAAATGAGAAGACAGAGAAATACACAACAGATGAAGGAGCAATGTAAAAACCCACCAGACCAAACAAATGAAGAGGAAATAGGCAGTCTAACTGAAAAAGAATTCAGAGTAATGATAGTAAAGATGATCCAAAATCCTGGAAATAGAATGGAGAAAATACAAGAAACATTTAACAAGGACCTAGAAGAACTAAAGAGCAAACAAACAATGATGAACAACACAAAAAATGAAATTAAAAATTCTCTAGAAGGAATCAATAGCAGAATAACTGAGGCAGAAGAACACATAAGTGACCTGAAAGTTAAAACAGTGGAAATCACTGTTGCATAGCAGAATAAAGAAAAAAGAACGAAAAGAATTGAAGACAGTCTCATAGACCTCTGGGACAACATTAAATGCACCAACATTTGAATTATAGGGGTCCCAGAAGAAGAAGAGAAAAAGAGAGGGACTGAGAAAATATTTGAAGAGACTATAGTTGAAAACTTCCCTAATATGGGAAAGGAAATAGTCAATCAAGTCCAGGAAGTGCAGAGAGTCCCATACAGGATAAATCCAAGGAAAAATACTCCATGACACATATTAATCAAACTATTAAAAATGAAATACAAATAAAAAATATTAAAAGCAGCAAGGAAAAAGCAACAAATAACAAACAAGGGAATCCCCATAAGGTTAACAGCTGATCTTTCAGCAGAAACTCTGCAAACCAGAAGGGAGTGGGAGGACATATTTAAAGTGATGAGAGAAAAACCTACAACCAAGATTACTCTACCCAGAAAGGATCTCATTCAGATTCGATGGAGAAATTAAACCTTTACAGACAAGCGAAAGCTAAGAGCATTTAGCACCATCAAACCAGTTTAACAACAAATCCTAAAGGAACTTCTCTAGGCAGGAAACACAAGAGAAGGAAAGACCTACAATAACCCCAAACAATTAATAAAATGGTAATACGAACACATATATTGATAACTACCTTAAATGTAAATGGATTAAGTGCTCCAACCAAAACACACAGACACCTGAATGGGTACAAAAACAAGACCTATATATATGCAGTCTACAACAGACCCACTTCAGACCTAGGGACACATACAAACTGAAAGTGAGGGGATGGAAAAAGATATTCCATGCAAATACAAATCAGAAGGAAGATGGAGTAGCAATTCTCGTATCAGACAAAATAGACTTTAAAATAAAGACTATTACAAGAGACAAAGAAGGACACTACATAATGATCAAGGGATCAATCCAAGAAGAAGATATAACAATTGTAAATATTTATGCACCCCACATAGGAGCACCTCAATACTTAAGGCGAATACTAACAGCCATAAACAGGGAAATCGATAGTAACACAATCATAGTAGGGAACTTTAACATCCCACTTGCACCAATGGATAGATCATCCAAAATGAAAATAAAAAAGGAAACACAAACATTAAATGATAACTTAAACAAGATGGACTTAATTTATATTTAAAGGACATTCCATCCAAAAACAACAGAATACTCTTTCTTCTCAAGTGCTAATGGAATATTCTCCAGGATAGATCATACCATGGGTCACAAATCAAGCCTTGGTAAATTTAAGAAAATTGAAATCGTATCAAGTATCTTTTCCGACCACAATGCTATGAAACTAGATATCAACTACAGGAAAAAATCTGTGAAAAATACAAACACATGAAGGCTAAACAATACACTACTAAATAACCAAGAGATCATTGAATAAATCAAAGGAAAAAACCTAGAAACAAGTGACAATGAAAACACTATGACCCAAAACCTAGGGGATGCAGCAAAAGCAGTTCTAAGAGGGAGGTTTATAGCAATATAATCCTACCTCAAGAAACAAGAAATATCTCAAATAAACAACCTAAAGTTACACCTTAAGCAATTAGAGAAAGAAGAACAAAAAAATCCCAAAGTTAACAGAAGGAAAGAAATCATAAATATCAGATTAGAAATAAATGATAAAGAAATGGAGAAAAAAATAGCTAAGATCAATAAAACTAAAAGCTGGTTCTTTGAGAAGATAAACAAAATTGATAAACCATTAGCCAGACTCATCAAGAATAAAAGGGAGAAGACTCAAATCAACAGAATTAGAAATGAAAAAGCAGAAGTAACAACTGACACTGCAGAAAAACAGAGGATCATAAGAGATTACTACAAGCAACTACATGCCAATGATATGGACAACTTGGAAGAAATGAACAAATTCTTAGAAAAGCACAACCTCCCGAAACTGAACCAGGAAGAAACAGAAAATATAAACAGGCCAATCACAAGCACTGAAATTGAAACTGTGATTAAAAATCTTCCAACAGGGCTTCCCTGGTGGCACAGTGTTGAGAGTCCGCCTACCGATGCAGGGGACATGGGTTCGTGCCCTGGTCCGGGAAGATCCCATATGCCGCAGAGCGGCTGGGCCCATGAGCCATGGCCGCTGAGCCTGCGCGTCCAGAGCCTGTGCTCTGCAACGGGAGAGGCCACAACAGTGAGAGGTCCACGTACCGCAAAAAAAAAAAAAAATCTTCCAACAAACAAAAGCTCAGGACCCAATGGATTCACAGGCAAATTCTATTAAACATTTAGAGAAGAGCTAACACCTATCCTTCTGAACCTCTTCCAAAATATAGTAGAGGGAGGAACTCTCCTAAACTCATCGTACGAGGCCACCATCACCCTGATAACAAAACCAAAGATGTCACCAAAAAAGAAAATTAGACCAATATCACTGATAAACATAAATGCAAAAATCCTCAACAAAATACTAGCAAACAGAATCCAGCAGCACATTAAAAGGATCATACACCCTGATCAAGTGGGGTTTATTCCAGTAATGCAACGATTCTTCAATATACGCAAATCAATCAATGTGATAAAGCATATTAACGAATTGAAGGAGAAAACCATATGATCATCTCAATAGATGCAGAAAAAGCTTTCGACAAAATTCAACACCCACTTATAAAAACTCTACAGAACATAGGTATAGAGGGAACTTACCTCAACGTAATAAAGTCCATATATGACAAACCCACAGCCAACATCATTCTCAATGGTGAAAAACTGAAACCATTTCCACTAAGATCAGGAACAAGACAGGTTGCCCACTCTCACCACTCTTATTCAACATAGTTTTGGAAGTTTTAGCCACAGCAATCAGACAAGAAAAAGAAAGAAAACGAATTCAAATCGGAAAAGAAGAAATAAAACTGTCACTGTTTGCAGATGACATACTATTCATAGAGAATCGCAATGATGCTACCAGAAAACTACTAGAGCTAATCAATGAATTTGGTAAAGTAGCAGGATACAAAATTAATTCACAGAAATCTCCTGCATTCCTATACACTAATGATGAAAAATCTGAAAGAGAAATTAAAGAAATACTCCCATTTACCATTGCAACAAAAAGAATAAAATACCTAGGAATAAACCTACCTAAGGAGACAAAAGACCTGTATGCAGAAAACTCTAAGACACTGATGAAAGAAATTAAAGATGATAGAAACAGATGGAGAGATATACTTGTGCTTGGATTGGAAGAATCAACTTTGTGAAAATGACTATACCACCCAAAGCAATCTACAGATTCAGTGCAATCCCTATCAAACTACCAATGGCATTTTTCACAGAACTAGAACAAAAAATTTCACAATTTTTATGGAAACACGAAAGACCCCGAATAGCCAAAGCAATCTTGAGAAAGAAAACTGGAGCTGGAGGAATCAGGCTCCCTGTCTTCAGACTATACTACAAAGCCACAGTAATCAAGACAGAATGGTATTGCCACAAAAACAGAAATATAGATCAATGGAACAGGATAGAAAGCCCAGAGATCAACCCACGCACATATGGTCACCTTATTTTTGGTAAAGGAGGCAAGAATATAAAATGGTGGAAAGTCTACAAGGAGAACTACAATACGACCCAGCAATCCCACTACTGGGCATATACCCTGAGAAAACCATAATTCAAAAAGAGACATGTACCACAATGTTCATTGCAGCACTATTTACAATATACAGGACATGTAAGCAACCTAAGTGTCCATCAACAGATGAATGGATACAGAAGATGTGGCACATATATACAATGGAATATTCCTCAGGCATAAAAAGAAATGAAACTGAGTTATTTGTAATGAGGTAGATGGACATAGATACTGTTACGGAGTGAAGTAAGTCAGAAAGAGAAAAACAAATACCGTATGCTAACATACATATATGGAATCTAAAAAAAATGGTTCTGAAGAACCTAGGGGCAGGACAGGAATAAAGACGCAGACATAGAGAATGGACTTGAGGACACAGGGAGGGGGAAGAGTAAGCTGGGACGAAGTGATAGAGTGGCATGGACATATATACACTACCAAATGTAAAACAGATAGCTAGTGGGAAGCAGTCACATAGCACAGGGAGATCAGCTCGGTGCTTTGTGTCCACCCACCTAGAGGGGTGGGATAGGAAGTGTGGGAGGGAGCCGCAAGTAGGAGGAGATATGGGGATATATGTTTATGTATAGCTGATTCACTTTGTTATACAGCAGAAACTAACTCACCAGTGTAAAGCAATTATACTCCAATAAAGATGTTAAAAAAAAAAAAGATTAATTCACATCATGGCCATTAATATCTAGATAATTTATCCTAAGCCAGGGCTGAAATTTAATGGATATGTTTTCCTTTTCATTTTGTTAACAAATACATTATCTTACACATTTCCTGTGTTTTAAACAATGCCTCTTTATGACCTCTCTTTCAAACAAACCTGCGCATTCCATCTCTTGTGTTCTCTGTCAAGCTGATTAATCAAGACTTCTGCAGCTTTAATTGTTTCTTGTGCTTTGCTTACTTCAGCTTCAAGTTTGGCAGCTTCTGAAGTCCTGCTCTGAAATCTATGAAAACATTAAAGTTTAATTAAAGACAACTGGATTTAAGATAGATTTAATTAAATTATGCTTATATAGTAAAGTGAACTTTTATACAATAATTTAATTAACTATAATATTGATAATATTTGCATATAAAATATCATTAATGTAAGAGACACAATACCAACACATACATTTAAAGGGGAACATTCTCACAGGGCCTTAATGTCCTACTACATTATGTATAAACTTATGAATATGACATTCAAAGGCCCAGTCATAATATTGATCTATCTTTTCAGTTTTATTTCATTTTACTCAGTTCAGTAAAACTATATGTCAACATCTGAAGAATTTTGTATTCTCAGAAAATGCCCTATCTTTTATCTGCTGTGCCCTTCAACAGGATGTTCCGTTTGCCTAGAATACTCTCCACCTCCTTCCTTATCCCTATCTCATCCCTCACTCTAATTCCCTCAAATATATACCTATCAAAAATATAAATAAAATCTTAAAACTCACCTGATATATTCAGCCCATCAGATATGTTCTCTCCCTATGTGCCCATTTGCTAAAGTTTAAAACTTTTAAATTATTTTCCTTAAAAATACTTGTACATATATATTATTTTATTAAATATAATAGTAATATTCCTATTACTTAGTCCTTCGACAAATATGTAAGTGCCTTCAAAATGCTCAGGATTCTGCCAATTCTCAGAATAGTTGAAAATAAGTATTACAATTCTCATTTTATATATATGGAGACTTAAATCCAAACAGATTATTGCACAGGTCTCCCCAACAGTAAGCAGAGGATCTAAAATTCATATATGGCTGTGTCTGATATTAAGTTCCAGGCATTTTACAGTACTTTTATTGCCTCTCTAAGTGCTCTATTCCTCCCTTCCCTAGACATAAGACTCTAGGAGTCACTTGTCCAAAATGGTAGCCACATAAATAAAATTAAAAATTCAATTCCTCAGTCACATTATCCACAAGGTCCTCAGTAATATTATTCAGAAGGTTTTCATAATAATCCTTCCAAAATACTGGTAGTATAGTGTAGTGACTAAGAAAAGGAACTTTATGGAGTCAGACAAATACAAGATCTAATGCTTGCTTAGTCATTTACTAACTGCTTAACTTAGGCAAATAAATTTTTCCAATCTTTAGCTTCCTAGTCTGCAAAATGTAAGAATATCCACCTCTCAGTGTTGTTTTAAGTATTAAAAATGATGAATACGTAAAGTGACTAGGACAACACCTGACACATGCAAATGACTAACAAATGGAGTCAAACATTGGTATCATAAGCTAACAACTCAATAAATATTTGACAATTATCTGAGTATTATTAAGCACTGATTCTGAGCATGTAACACTGAAAATAATATATTATTTTCCTTATACTTCTCTAATTATACCAGGAAGGAAATTATGTGATTTCATTTCTGTATGTCTAACATAAAAAACATTCAGGAATATGAAAAACATTGAATTTATGGGTTTGAAGATTTTTTTGTTTATTCTCTATAAATAAACATATATAAATGTAAAAGAGATAACTGTTTTCTAATGCTGTAGAGAAAAAAAAATTCAGTTTTCAGTCTGATGAATTTTTTCTTGGTGCAATAATTTGTATTTCTTTCATAAGAAAGAAAAGGATACATAACACACCACTTAAAGAAAAAATATGTTTATAGAAAAGTTTTACTCTCATAAAACTGAAAGCAAGTGATAACATATGCTATATTTAATGACACATTCTCCAGTTTTCCAATCTTCACAATTCTTAAAGGAAAATGCTTCCACATTTATAATAATTCCCATACCAATATTTTCTAGCCTATATTAAAAAGCAATCACAGGAACACAGAGGTACATGCAAGGTTTTAAGATTAATCACATTCATAAATGCTTCTTAAATTTGAGAATAATATTTGCATGAAGGAATATTTTTTAATACCAAAAAGGGCAAAGTTAAAAAGACAAAAATTTTTTAACATGATCATATACCTCTGGAAATATTATGGAATAGGTGGTCCTATAGCATCATCTGAAATAAAGGAGTCTAAAATCTTGAAGTCAAAATTATAAAGAAATGGGAATACCAAATGTAAACACTCCCAGCATTAACACATTACATTCAATTCTTCCTGCTCAATTTTCCAATGCTTGGGAATATAGAAACTTAAAATATTTTTGTTCTTATTAAATGTTTTTAAAAAGGAAGACATTCTATATTATTTTACATCCTTCCCCCTTTTAGAGATACCAAAAAATTAAGACAGTGATTATAACTAAGATTTTCAAAATTTAAGTATTAGTTGAGGTATGTTTTCAAATATTCAAAATACATTTCAAAACTTAACTTACTTTTCTTTGAGTTCTGACACTGTTTGACCAACAGAATTAAGAAGCTCCTCTAGTTTCCTTTTTCTGTCTTCAGTTTTCCGCAAATTTCTAAAATATAATTCAATTTTATAAGTCATTCTACTTTAGTTATCAACAAAAAGCCACAACAGCACCTTAAAATGTAATTGTGCAGTAAATAAATGACAATGAAAACTATCAATAATTCAGTAGTTATAATACCTTCACCTAGAATTTGATTTGAAAAGCCATGCTATAATTAAGTGTATTCTCTGACCTAACCATACCACTTCCAGGAATCTATATTTTAAAACACTTGTGCCCATAGATTTCTAGATAAAAATGGAAGACTAAAAGTATTCACTTATCTTCTATCCCTTCTAAAATCCTACTAAAATGAAACCAAGGGAATAAATTAAAACATACACGCACAAGAATAAAGACAAAGAAAGAGAAAAGTACTATGAAGGAGTAATTTTAATAAAATTTTGAAAGGTGATAACTGACATACCAAAATACAAAAGGGCAAAAGTTAAATGACTGCAGGAAGATAGGTGAAAAGAAGTATTCAAAAATGTTCAGGAAATGTAGACAACAGGTACCTCTGAAGAAAATAATAGAGCTAAATACAGAAGATTGTTTAATAATTGATAATACAACATTTGACCTCAGAATCCCTCCTGCATTGAGAGCAGACTATCCTCTACATACATCCCTGAAAGTCAAACCTTATGCCCCTTACCCATCCCCAACCACCCCTACTTAATCCCTAGGCAGAAGGTATTAGGATTCTTCTAGAGAAATGACTGGCTTACCCCTCTCAAAAATACCCACAAATATTGAGAAGTTGTCATCAAATGGCCAGTCCACACTGCCATGCACTGCTGGGCATTTGTGCATTGCACAAATCAACTTGAGTTTTTGTCTAAACACAGATTGCAAGGTCTCATTCCCCAGCATATCTGATTCAATAAGCCTTGATGGAGATCAAAAATTTGCTCTTTTAACAATTTCCCAGGTAACATTGATGCTGCTGGTTCAGGGACCACATTTTGAGAACTACTATAATAGAATAAGGCCTTCAAAATCATGAGATTAATCTATTTCTAGTCTAGTATTTTAAACCCAGCCCAGTTATGATCACATATAATAGTATAATACAGATAATTTTAGACATGCAAATCTCAAAATATTTTTCATCCCATATAATCTTGCTTAAGAAGCTACTATGGAGGATGTGTTCCAGAAAAATGAGGGACTAACTAAGACAGAGAAAGACAAAGACCCAAAATAAGAGAATATGATCAGAAAAGAGACAAATATAACCCCAGAATAATGGTGAAAAGCAATCTCAAGATAACTTAAGCTGTAGACTGCAGGCCTGGGGAAGAATTAACTCACCTTGAAACAGGAGGACAAAAGGCTCTAAGTAGGAGAGTACTAAGAAAAAATTAAATAGAACACATAGATTCCAAATACGTTTTAGGGTCTGACAAAAAGACTATGGATAAATATGTGATACATAAACAGAAAAAAATAATCAATTGAAAAAATAAGGCAATTATTAAGCATAACAAAAGGTATACAAGAAAGGAAATATACTCATAAAACATGATATATCCAAGCTGTAAAAAATATTTATATATTCAAAATATATAATCATATTTAATATGATTTAACACAAACATTTCATGTAATTATATTGAAAAAAATAAGAAACTTAGGCAGCTAAAAATATCCTTGTGTAGAGTAAGAAGTAATAGATAATTTCAAAAGGTGAATGATCATGAACATAACATATCTCTTAGTCTGCATTTAGAACAAATGAGATAAAATATAATACTAACTTAGTAACAATAGCAAATTAAAAGTTTAAGCCCCAAAAGTAAATCGTTAAATTTTCCCCACACCTGCCAGATAATGTTTTGGAAATAATATACTAAAAGTTTCCTAAAACTTAGAGAAAAAAATATAAAAGCTCTAAATTTCTAAAACCTACTTTTTGTACTTTGACAGTATTCCTTCACAAAATTTTGGCTCTTTCTAAAGGAACTTCTACCAACTTATCTTTCCAACAAAACAGAGGAGGAAAAAAGTGAGTTGATTCTGCTATACATCTTTTAATTGCTTTTTCTTTTTTTGTTCTGTTTAACTTTTTTTTTTCTTTAATGATGTATAGTTAATTTACAATACTGTGTTAGTTTCAGGTGTACAGCATAGTGATCCAGTTTTTTTTTTTTGCAGATTATATTCCATTGCAGATTATAAGATATTGAATAAAATTCCCTGTGCTATATAGTAAAACCTTGTTGCTTATCTATTTTATGTATAATAGTCTATGTCTTTTAATAATATATGCCTAACCTATCCCTCACTCTCTCTCTCCTTTCGTAACCATAAATTTGTATTATATGTCTGTAAGTCTGCTTCCATTTTGTATATAGATTCATTTTGTGTATCTTCTTTATCCATTCATCTGTCGATGGACATTTAGGTGGCTTCCATGTTTTGGCTATTGTAAACAGTGCTGCAATGAACTCTGAGGTGCATGTATCTTTTCAAATTCTGGTTTTCTCCAGATATATGCCCAGGAGTGGGATTGCAAGATCATATGGTAGCTCTACTTTTAGTTTTTTAAGGAACCTCCATACTGTTTTCCATAGTGGCTGCACCAGTTTACATTCCCACCAACAGTGTAGGAGGGTTCCCTTTCTCCACACCCTCTCCGGCATTTATTATTTGTGGACTTTTTGATGATATCCATTCTGACTTGTGTGAGGTGATACCTCATTGGGGTTTTGATTTGCATTTCTCTAATAATAAGTGATGATGAGCATCTTTTCATGTGCCTGTTGGCCATTTGTATGTCTTCTTTGGAGAAATGTCTATTTAGGCCTTCTGCCCATTTTTTTATTGGGTTGTTTAAATTTTTGTTAATGAGTTGTATGAATTGTTTGCATATTTACCCCTTGTCAGTCACACTGCTTGCAAATATTTTTTTCCCATTCTGTAGGTTTTCTTTTCATTTTGTTGATGGTTTCCTTTGCTGTGCAAAAGCTCTTCAGTTTGATTAGGTGCCATTTGTTTATTTTTGCTTTTATTTCTTTTGCCTTATGTGACTGATCCAAGAAAATATTGCTATGATTTATGTCAGAAAATGTTTTTGCCTATGTTCTCTTCTAGGAGTTTTATGTGCCATGTCTTATATTTAGGTCTTTAAATTATTTTGAGTTTATTTTTGTATATGGTGTGAGGGAGTGTTCTAATTTCATTGATTTACATGTAGCTGTCCAGCTTTCCCAACACCACTTGTTAAAGAAACTGTCTTTTCTCCATTGTATATTCTTGTCTCGTTTGTCATAGACCATGGGTGCATGGGTTTATTTCTGGGCTGTCTATTCTGTTCCATTGATCTATATGTCTGTTTTTGTGCCAATATTACACTGTTTTGATTACTATAGCTTTGTAGTATAGTCTGAGGTCTGGAAGGGGTATGCCTCCAACTTTATTCTTTTTCCTCAGGATTGCTTTGGCAATTCTGGGTCTTTTGGAGTTCCATATAAATTTTAGGATTATTTGTTCTAGTTCTGTGAAAAATGTCATGAGTATTTTGATAGAGATTGCATTAAATCTGTATATTACTTTGGGTAGCACAGTCATTTTAACAATATTAATTCCTCCAATCCAAGAGCATTGGATATCTTTTTGTCTCTTTGAATCATCCTCAATTTACTTTATACCAATGTTTTACAGCTTTCAGCATATATGTCTTTCACCTCCTCAGTTAAGTTTATTCCTAGGTATTTTACTTTTTTTGACACGATTTTAAACAGGATTTTTTTCTTTTTTTGCTTTCTCTTTCTGATATTTGTTAATGTAAAGAAACACAACAAATTTCCATGTATTAATCTTGTATCCTACTACCTTTCTGAACTCATTTATTAGTTCTAATAGATTTTGTGTGGAGACTTTGGGGTTCTCTTTATAGAGTATCATGTTATCTGAAGTAGTGACAGTTTTCAATCTTTCCTTCCAATTCGTAAACCTTTTACTTCTTTTTCTTGTCTGACTGCTGTAGTTAGGTCTTCCACTACAATGTTGAATAGAACTGGTGAGAGTGGATATCCTAGTCTTGTTCTTGCATTTACCGGGAAGCCTTTCAGCTTTTCACCATTGAGTATTATGTTGGCTATGGGTCTGTCATAAATGGCTTTTATTATGTTCAGATATGTTCCCTATATACCCATTTGGGTGAGAGTTTTTATCATGAATGGATATTGAACTTTGTCAAATGCTTTTTCTGCAGCTATTGAGATGATGATGTGGTTTCTGTCTTTGCTTTTGTTAATGTGGTGTATCACACTGACTGATTCACATATTTTGAACCATCCTTGTGATCCTGGAATGAACCCAACTTTATCTTGGTGTATGATCCTTTTCATGTATTGTTGGATTCAATTTGCTAATATTTTGCTGAAGACTTTTACGTCTAAATTCATCAAAGATATTGGCCTGTAAATTTCTTTTTTTGTAGTGTCTTTGTCTGGTTTTGGCATCAGGATAACAGTGGGCTCATAGATTGAATTTGGAAGTGTTCCCTCCTCTTCAATTTTTTGTAATAGTTTTAGAAGGACTGGTATGAGTTCCTCCTTGTATGTTTGGTAGAATTTCCCAGTGAAGCCATCCACTCCAGGGCTTTTGTTTGCAAGGAGGTTTTTTTTTTTTATTATTATTACATATTCTACTGCACTTCTAGTGATCAGTCTGTTCAAGTTATCCATTTCTTCTTGACTCAATTTTGGCAGGCTGTATGTTCCTAGAAACTTGTTCATTTCTTCTAGATTGTCTAATTTGTTAGTATAAAACTGTTCATGGTATTCTTATAATTTTTTGTATTTCTCTGGTATCAGTTGTTATTTCTCCTCTTTCATTTATTATTTTATTTATTGGAGTCATTTCTCTTTTGTTCTTGGTGAGTCTCTCTGGAGGTTTGTTGATTTACCTTTTCAAACTACCAGCTCTTGGTTTTATTGATCTTTTCTATTATTTTTTTATCTCTTATTTTATTTATTTCCCCTTGAACTTTATTATTTTGTTCCTTCTGTTAACTTTGGATTTTGTTTATCCTTCTTTCTTATTCATTTTGGTGGTAGGTTAGGTTGTTTGAGATTTTTCTTGTTACTTGAGGAAGGCCTGTATATCACTATAAATTTCCCTCTTAAAACTGTTTTGCTGCATCCCATAGATTTTGTAAGGTTGTGTTTTCATTGTCATTTGTCTCAAGGTATTTTCTGATTTATTCTTTGATTTCATTGTTGAGCCACTGTCTTTTTAGTAGCTTGTTGTTTTGTCTCCATGTGTTTTTTCCTATTTTGCTTTCTGTAGTTTATTTCTAGTTCCATACCACTGTGGTCAGAAAAGATGCTTGAAATAATATCTAACCTCTTAAATTTGTTGAGGCTTGTTCTGTGATCTAGTATGTTATCTATCCTAGAGAATCTTCTATGTGAGCTTGAAAGGAACATGTATTCTGTTTTTGTTTTTTGTTTTGGATGTAGTGCCCTGTAGACATCAATTAAGTCCAACTGCTCTATTGTATCATTTAGGAACATTCTTGCCGTATTGATTTTCTGTCTGGATGATCTGTCCATTGATGTCAGTGGGGTGTTAAAGACTCCTACTATTATTGTATCATTGTCAATTTCTCCCTTTATGTCTTCTAGCATTTGTTTTATATACTTAGGTGCTCCTACAGTACAAGTGTAATATCCTCTTCTTATATTGATCACTTTATCATTATATAATGCCCTTTTTCTTTCTATATGGCTTTTGTTTTAAAGTCTATTTTGTCTGATAGGAGTATTGTTACCCCCACTTTCTTGTTGTTTCCATTTGCATGAATTCTCTTTCTCCATCGCCTTTCAGTCTATGTGTATCTTTCATCCTGATGTTAGTCTTCTGAAGGCAGCAAATTGTAGTTTCTTGGTTTTTTTCCTCCAATCTGCCACTCTGTCTTTTGATCAGAGCATTTAATCCAGTGACATTTAAAGTAATTATTGATAACTATGTATTTACTGCCATTTTAATCCTTGCTTTCCAGTTGGTTTTGTAGTTCTTCTCTGTGCAGTTTTTTTTTCCTTTGGCAGGGGGAGGGGGTTGATGTTTTTCTTTTGTAGTATGCTTGAGTTCTTTCTTTTTGGTTTTGGTGAATCTATTGTATGTTTCTGATTTGAGGTTACCATGGAGTTCAAGTATGTTGACCCATAACTATATCTATTTGCTTTAAACTGATAGTCATTCAAGTTCGTATTTTTAAAAAATCTACATTTTTATACTCCCCTCCCCTACATTTTGTGATTTTGATATCCTATTTTATATTGTCATGCTTATCCTTTTACTGTTAATTATAGTTAAAATTACTTTCACAATTATATTATTATTTTTTAATCTATGTATTGGTTTTTAAAAGTGATCTTGAATCCTTTTATATATTTGCCTTTCCTATTCTGATTTTCCCTTTCCTACAGATTCTTGCTTCTTTTCTATTTAGAGAAGACCCTTCAATATTTCTTTTAGGGTAGGTTTAGTATTGCTGAATTCTTTTAGTTTTTGCTTCTCTGAAAAATTCTTTAGCTCTCTTTCTATTCCAAATGATAATCTTGCTAGGAACAGCATCCTAGGTTGCAGGCTTTGCCCTTCAGTACTTTGAATATATCATGCCATCCCTACTAGCCTGTAAAGTTTCTGCAGAGAAATCAGCTGATAGCCTTTTGGTGGTTCCCCTGTAACTAAATCTTTGTTTTTCTCTTGCTGCCTTTAGAATCCTCTCTTTAACTTTTGCCATTTTAATTAATATATGATTTAGTGTGGGTCTGTTTGGGTTCATCTTGTTTGGGACTCTCTGTGCTTACTGTACCTGAGTATGTTTCCTCCTTTAGGTTTGAGAAGTCTTCAGCCATATTTTCTTCAAATACATTTTCAACCCCCTTCTCTCATCTCCTTCTGAAACCCCTGTTATGCATAGGTTAGCATGTTTTATATTATCCCATAGATCTGATATGTTGATTTCATTTTTTTTTTCATTTGTCTTTCTGTCTGCTGTTCTGATTGGGTGATTTCCATTACTCTATCTCCAGATCACTTATTTATTCTTTTGTCTCATTTAGTCTGCTATTCATTGCTTCTAGATTGGTTTTATCTTGGGAATTGAATTGTCTATTTTTGATTGGCTCCTCTTTATAGTTTCTAGGTCCTTGTTACAGTGATCTGTGTTTCTACCGATAATCTTTCTTAATTCAGTTAGCATTTTTATTACCTCCTTTTTGAAATCAGGGTCTAGTAGACTGCTGCATGGTCTGTTTCATTATTTGTTCTTACAGGGGATTTATCTTGTTCTTTTAACTGGAAGTAGTTCCTCTCTCTTTTCATTTTACTTAACTTTCTTTGTCTCTATGAATTTAGCAGAAACAGTTATCTGCTGTGGTCTTGAAGGGGTGTTTTTATGTGGGAACATCACTGTGTAGACTGTGTGAATCCAATATTTTTGGTGTGAGGGCTGGTTTCAGTTGGACGCCAGCCACATCATTCTTCAGGGTGTGTGGGCTATTATCCCCTTGATAGGTGGTATGGCTGGTGTTGTAGCATCTAGAGCCTGTACAAGACGTGAGGTGGGACTTTTTCTCTGCTCCATGGCTGTCAATGCCCTGTCAGAGGTGAGGTCTGCTCCCCAGTTGTTGGAGTAGAAGCCCTGATGGTCAGGCTCAATCAGTTTCCACTGTCCATGAGTTCAAGCCCTGCCCAAAAGGAGGTGATTGCTAAAGCAAGTAAGGCCCATGCAGTCACAGAGGACCTATGCATCACCTGTGTAGGCATTCACGTTTCTGCTCAGAAGCAGCCCAAGGTTGAATCCCTTTCTCTGCTGTGTTCATCTGAGATCTAGTGCAAGGCTATGGTCTGAAGTAGGCTGGGGCTGAGGGCTGGGGCATCGTGGCTGCAGGAATTGAAGTGACTGCACTGCCACCAGAGATCTGGGCTGCCTCTGTGGCAGTGTTCTCACAGAACCTGTCTGCCCCAGATCTACTGCTAAGTTGTGGCATGGAGTGAGTGGAGCCAGAGCCAGGGTGCTCTCCCTGGGAGACGAAAGGCTCTGTACTCCTGAGCATGCTGATGACAACTGCTACCGTCCCACCTGGACCACATCCCAGTCCCTCGGGCTGTGTCTCTCTCAAGGTCTGTCTGCCTGAGCTTCAGTGCTTAGTCACTGGGCATTTCTGTGGCACTGTTCATGTGCACACTGACAATGGCCTCCATGACTCCACCGGATCATACCCCAGCCTCCAGAGTCTGTCTCTCCATAGCTAGACCAAGTCTGTGTGCAAATCTTGCATGAGGGATGGAGTGAGTGGGCCTGGGTTGTTTGCCCGTTCGGATTGGGAAGTGGTAAGGCAGCACCCACTAATGCAAAACTCTCTCGACCCTGCTTGTTAGCAAGCCAGCATGCGAGCACTCCTCACAAGTAGAGTCTAGGCTTTTCCAGCCCTTCTGTCTGTCTCAGTAGATTTCCCAGCAGGCGAGGGGGACTGTCTCTTCCACGCAGGAGCCCAGGACTGGTATGCCCAGTGTGTGGCTCAACCTCCTCGCTCTTCAAGTCAAGGGTCCACCCATATAGAACTTTTCTTTCTTACAGATCCTTCCTAGGGGCTCAGTTCCTGACCAAATGCCTTTTTTTCTGTCCTACCCAATTATGTACAGATCTTTCTTGCAGCTTTAATTGTACAGTTCTTCTGCCAGTTTCTAGTCAGTTTCCCATGATAATTGTTCCACATGTAGATGTATTTTTGATGTGTTTGTGAGGTGAGGTGAGCTCCACATCCTCCACTCCATCATCTTGATCTACATTCTTAATTTGTATTTAAATGACTCAGTGTTGTCTGCTGCCTTTTTAGATACAGACAAGAAATAAATCCTAATAATATAACTAGGTCATTAGATTGATGAAAATAAAGGCTAGAACTATTTATATTTTATGTTTCACTTACGATTCTAATCCTGCCTGTTCAGTTTCCAAAGGCTGAATTCGTTCCAAGACATGGGAGTACTGGACATTGGCTTTAACCCAGGCAGCTAAAGGAGCAGCTGCGGTACTGGCACGCTTGGCATTCTGAAAAATACATCAGAAATTATTCTGCATCTTAACTTAATTTCAAATAAAGGCAAAGTTAATTCTAGTGTATTTTCTTTAAGCATTTGTTTAATAACTTATCCCGAATAATGAAGTTTTTGGTTTATAGCAAAAATAAAGTGAATTGCTATTTTGATTAAGTGAAAAATACATACACTATTTTTTCTTAAGAATAAATTGTTTTGAACCACATACAATCTTTAATATAATGACATTTCATTGACATAAGTAATTATCAGCCACGTTTAAAATGAATACCTGTGCCGTCCACAACGATGTTCAAGCACCAATTCTTTCTCTTCAATATACAAGATAGATCTTTACTAGATAAAAGCAATTTTCAAACAATTGCTATTGGTGTCAAAGAAGAAGTACATGACATTTTGAATAAAGGATATAAAAAAGACCAGAATCATGGAATTTAAACTGTTCGCTGAAATTAGATATAAGTATTCCAAGAGAGATATCTGTTATTATATGACAAGTATACTAGAAGAAATAAAAGCATACAGGCAAGTTGGAAGTTATGACTAGTTAGGAACTTACCGCTGACAGTAGATCATAAGATTCAAAAACCACTTAAGATAATAAACCTTCCCCCAACCCTCTAGATTCTACAATAGTTTACCTAATTCTTCTGGTAAATGCTTCCCAGCTATAATACTTACAACTTATTATAATGAACTTTTAGTTTTTAGGTAAACTAAACAATCAATAATGATAAATCATCATATTTTGACAAGGAGAATATTATATAGTATGGAAAGGGAATTTATGGCACAACTGTTAAAAATTACCTTTGGATCAAAAGATCCTTTATTTTTAAAAAGAAGTTCTTCAACACTCTCTCTTATTTCCTTTGGAATATTTCGTGCATCAAAGGTTGCTATGTCTTCTCTCACACCTCTCTTTGCAAGGAAACTGAAATTAAAGCATAGTACTTCAAATAAGGCTAAATAAAGTTTGCTATTTTTAACAAAAATATCAATTTAACAAAGTGGTGTATACAATACTTTTAATCTATTAGTTAACCAAAAATAGGGTACTTTTAAAGTACTTAAGCTTCTAAAGTACCATTCGTCATTTTTTATAGACGAGGATCTCCAGAAAGATGCACAACAGTTTTTCTAATGTTCTGTGAATACACTGAAGCAATAAAATGAAGGAATTATAATCTTGAACTCTACCCAAATCCCTTTTTGTGAACCCCTGGGTACTAATACATTCTAGGATATGCAAGAAAATATTCTGACTCCTTTATAAGAAAGATTTTAAAGTGCTCCCTCAATCTAAATCTTCTCTCCCATTTCAGATAGAGAAAGAACTCTACTATCAGCCTAAGTCCTAAAATGGAATTGAACAACAGCACAAACCACAATACCATTGTTATACTGTGAAACCTAAAGCTGCATAATTGCATACTGAGTTAATAATCAGCCTTTTCTCTTCCAGTTTACATCACTCTTATATAATTTATGGGGCTCTCGCCTGCTCCCTGTGTCTCTCTGTCTCTGCCAAGAATCCAAGATTCTTTTTGAGAATAGTGACTATATTTACTTCATCAGTAAATCACAGTAAACACAATGCTCTATACTGTGTGAGGACCAAATAAATATTTGTTTATTAAGATGTTCTTAAAGACTTTAAGGCATTCCTGTTTTCCTTTGACACTTTTAACAATCACTTATAGAGAAAGGAAAATATAGATCTTGATATATGATTACATAGACCATCTTGAAATATCAGGGGAAAGTGTGTAACCAGGTAGGTACTTAGATGAAATTCAGTTTGAGAAGCAATATAAGAAATATTTAAAAATACAAAAGAATGTATAATTCATTGGTGAAATAACATTTTTCACAAATTCAAAAACTTACCTTTTCATGCTCACCCAAGATGTATCAAAGATACCCATTATTCTTAAAACTCCTTCAAGAATGTCCCTGATTACATCAGGTGGCATACGCAGTGAACGAATTTCTGAAAGAGATTCTTGCTTAATGTTTCCAACTGCTAGTTTAGCTTCATTGACTAGAGGCTAGAACACGAAAAGGGCGTTTTTACTTTCAAAAAATATATATAAAAAAATCACTAACTCTTTACAAATAATGTTTTATTGTCATTTTATTAAAAATGACTCTAGTTATTAATATCCGTTCTCTTCAAATATCAAAATGCCCTGAAACACACAAAGTACAAAATGTTCAAATTGAGAAAGTAAGAGTTTCTTCTCACCATAACTACAACAGTCTAATTTGGAAAATCTAATTTGTTTTGAGACAATTTGCCATTTTCAAGAGGCTCTTTATATGCTAAGACTTGTTTGCTTATTTAATCAAGTCTCAAGAGAAAAAGCCTAAGAGTTTATCTACAAAATATTTTTTCCTCTACAGTCAAAACAACATGGTTCACACAAAACAAAGATTATTTTTAACAACCATCAGTTAATTTGCTTACTCCTCCTAGCAGATTTTCCTTCCCGCTTCTCTTTTATAAATAGTATTGAGTGAAAGCCACATTGATAATACTATTAGAAAGTGACTTATGCTTTAAACTCCTATGTAAAGTTGGTAATCAAAAATGTAAATGGCTCTTACAGTTTCCTTTTTTTTTTTTAACTTACCTGTACTTCTTTTAATTCATCATCAATTTTGTTTTTCCTTTCTTCAATTTTAATGACTTCTTCTGCTATTCTGTGCTTTAGTCTTTCAAGTTCTGTCTTTTGTTCACTAGCATCCTACAGGAATATTTAAATAGCATTCCAATCAATTTTAATGCACTCAACATTTAAAAGCATGATACCAAAAATGTTATTTTAAAATAGCACTTTCTATTAAATGCTTTTCTAATATTAATTGGCATAAGAGTTTCTAAAATGCCTAGGAAACATGATATAAATTACTCTATGTTTACTATTAAGAAGTATGCTTTATTTATTTTTTTCTGAATAGCAAAGTAATAAATGCTTACTATTTAAAAATCAAACATGTCCGAAATGTATAATTTAGAAAATGATCATAATAATATACATTTAACACTTGCAACAACCCTGAGATAAATATTATGCTTATTTCATAAATAAGAAAACTGAAAATAGAAGTCTTCTATAATTCTAATAGTAGAATAGTAATAATTCTTAGAGACAATCTATAGTATATTAGAAGTTTGTTTCTAGACTTTATTTTAGACAAAAATTAATTGAGGGCTTCCCTGGTGGCGCAGTGGTTGAGAACCTGCCTGCTAGCGCAGGGGACACAGGTTCGAGCCCTGGCCTGGGAAGATCCCACATGCCGTGGAGCAACAGGGCCCGTGAGCCACAACTACTGAGCCTGCACGTCTGGAGCCTGTGCTCCACAACAAAAGAGGCCACGATAGTGAGAGGCCCACGCACCGTGATAAAGAGTGGCCCCCGCTCGCCGCAACTAGAGAAAGCCCACGCACAGAAACGAAGACCCAACACAGCCAAAAATAAATAAATAAATAAATAAATAAATAAATAAATAAAAAGCCAAGCATTTAAAAAAAAGAGCAGGCTTTAAAAAAAAAAATTAATTGAAATCATGACACAATAATATGGCAAATATATGAACAAAAATTAGTAAAGATTCAAAGAACACTAAATGATATATTAACACATGACCTCTTTGCTCATGAATACAAAAATCAAGGGTCTCACATATATAAAAATGGATGAAAATTATGAATGTTTGTGTTTGACTTATTTATTTATTATACTATAAAAAAAAACAAGGGAAAAAATTTGTCAAGAAACCTTCCAAGAATCCTAACAACAGTGATTCTCAACCATATTATAATCATTCAAGGAGTTTAAAAACTAATGCTTGGCATCCTCTCTAGACTTATTGTGGTAATCATGTCACATTATATACATATACAGAATCATCGTACACCTGAAACTAATATAGTGCTATGAGTCAATTATATCTCAATTAAATCAAAAAAAGAAGAGACCAGAGAGTTTTCTTCTCTCTCTCTCTCCCTTCCTGAACTGGAAGAAATAAATTTCTGTTGTTTAAACCAACAACAAGAACAATACTAACGCCTTGTGTCCTATTGCCAATATATTGATTCTTCAGGTACCTGACACGTGAGCGCAATTGATATCTTCTATGTTCCACAAGGGTTTCTACCTGTGTATCTCTGCTACCGCTCCTCAACAGGGAAAGTTCTTTTCTCCATCTCCACAATATCAAAATCACGCTTACAGGCCCAACTCATGTGCTTCGTGTTTTATTAACCTACTTTTCCAATTGTAAGTTATATCTATTCTGAGTGACTACAGCATTTAGTGTGTTCTTTCCTTATGTCACAAACCTAGAGTTGCTAGCTTTAAAAGTTGTACGGTTTGGTTTTTAAGCTGTCTCTCCCTACCATACTTATGTATAAAATAACAAACAGAAATGTCTCCAATTTATAATTGAGCAAAATTATTAACTTATAATACAAGATGCAGAGTTATTCTTCTGGGTCTCTACTAAGTAATACAATTAGCTACAGTCTTAGAAATACCTCCTCCCAGAACAGTCCAGAGAAAAGAATAGCATAGTACTCAATGTATCTTAATAATGTTCACTAGTTTGAAGGTACATAGGCACACGGAGTGCTGAATATTTTCCTTTTGTAAATATATAGTTATCAATGATATTATTCTTTATGGAGCTTTTACTTTTTTCAAATTACTCTTTAAAGGTAAGAAATTTAAAGGTGTTCCAATCGCAGCTACAGAAGCTAGGAGAATATGGAACGATGCCTTCAATTTCCTGAAGGGAAAAAAAAGTATTTGACAGATATTCTTAACAATAAAAATGACTAGCTGCTTCAGATAAGTATTTATATTACTTTGGTTCTAAAATTCCTTGATAAAAAATTATGCTAAAATTTTACAGTATGAAAATTGAATTTATTATCTGATCTATTACTTCCAGGTCAGGCAGTCCATAAATTTATGTTGTAAACACTGAATGTGTATATAATCATCAATTATCTGCAAATGTTATTGCTTTGAAGATTTTCCATCTGCCAAGGAATTTATTTTGACATGCCAGGTGAAATCTTTTGCTTATGCCATTCAAATCAGTCCAGATAACCCTCTTGAGAAGTTCACAATAAACAAACCTCCCTTCCACGCTCAGATTTTCAATGAAGATGACCAAACATGAAAAGAAAGCTTTTTTTGTGAATAACTAAGAATTATTCTTTAACTGAGAATAAAGCAATCATGTAAGAAAAATAATAATAAAACATATTCAGAAGAAAAAAAATATTCAGGAAAAATGAAACTTCATAAAATATCCTCTGAGAGCTAGTTGGAGATACTGCAACAATGAGACAACAACAAATAAGGACACTACTGCCAAAAGGAAACATCTAGAGATTTTTTTAAATCTCCTGAGAAATAATTTAACAGAAATGAAAAACTCAATAGGAGGGTTAAAAAATAAAGTTGAAGAAATTTTGAAGAAAGTAGAGCACATAGAGAAGAAAAAAAGTGAGAAAATATAAGAAAATTAGAGAACCAGACCAGTAAGCCCAAAGCCCAAATAATAAGAAGAATTCTAAAAAGCAAGAACAGAGAAATAAAGGAAAAGGATTTATCAATAGAATAATTTAAGGAGATTTCCCAGAACTGAAGCAGATAAATTTTCAGGTAGAAAGAACCCACACTGGACACAGTGGATGAAAATAAACCTAAAGCAAAGCAAATCACCACATCTTTCAGAAAAATGGAAACAAAGATCTAAAATAGATTCCAAGAGAGAAAATAAAAAACAACAAGTCACCCCAAAACAGATCAGGAATTAAAATAGCTTTGAGTGTTTCAATCACAACAATGGAATCTAGGAGAAAATGGAACAATGCCTTCAAAATCCAGAATACTATTCCGAGCACACAACCAACCAACCAACCAAGGACAGAGAAGAATGTTCATATATGTGAGATCTCAAAATTTATCGCCCATGTATCCTTTCTCACCAAGCTTTTGGGGATAGGCTCCACAGAAACGAAGGCATAAACCAAGATGATAAAGAATGATCTCAGGACAGCAGCTGTAACCAGGCACAAAATGAAACAAGCCAGAAGGCTCTAGGAGAGAATGCTGCAGGTGGCTGATGAAAATTAAAAAATAGCTGAGGCCTTGTGAAGTCTTCACAGAATATTTAGAACACATTTTTAAATACGCAGTTTATGGAGTCATACCACTCCCCTTCCCAACTATCAGAAGTTTGGAAAAAAGGTTACTCTTCTGAGAAACTAAGTCAAAGAAGCTCTGGATTTGTAATTACCAGGCTAAGCACTACAAAGCTAAGGGCTAGAATGAGGTCTCATACTAAAAAATAAGGGGATTACATTTCCTTGCTGATTAATGATGTTGAGCATCTATCTTTTCATGTATTTACTGGCCCCTTTATAAGTCTTTTTTCCTGAAGGGCAGGTTCAAATCTTTTGCCTATTTTTAAATTGAATTGTTAGTTTTATTAGCATTGAGTTGTAATCACTTCTATACATGCTGGATACAAGTCTTTTATCAAATACACGTTTGTAAATATTTTCTCCCAGTCTGTGACTTGCCTTTCATTTTCTTTGGAATTTATTTCAAAGAGCACAGGTTTTAATTTTGATAAGATCCTATTTATCATTTATTTTCTTCTTCTATTTTGGTATCATATCTAAGAAAGCTCTGCCTCACCCAACATCATAAAGATTTTCTCTCATATCTTCTTCTAAAGTTTTATAATTTTATGCTCTACATTTAGGTCTACGATCCATGTCAAGTTACTTTTCATATAAGTTGTAAGGTAAAGGTTTGAGGGTTTTTTTCCTCTCTTCATGGATCTCCAAATATTCCAGTACCATTTTTTAAAAAGACCACCCTTTCCCCATTTAAACAGTATTTTTGTATACAATTAATTGACCATGTATGCATGAGTCTGTTTCTGGATGCCACAGTGTTCCGATAGTCGATATGCCTATCATTACACCAATATTACCCTACCTTGACTACTGTAGCTTTATAGTAAGTCTTTATATCATAAGCCCTCCAACTTTGTTATTTTTAAGACTTTTTTATACTATTTACTTTTACTGAGATATATACACTAGTCTGATAAACACTGAAGTTAATTTAAATAAAAGAGGCATTGGACTTCAAGTAAGGTTAACAGTCACCCACATTGAGATGGGAAAACATATTTAAGACAAATCAGGGAGGTAAAACTAACAGAATTTAATGATTCATTAGAGTCATGAATTGAGGGAACAGAAATATAACATAATTTATAAATTCTGTCTTGAATAATTAGCTATAGTGTAGTACCATAAACTGAGGAAAGGAATACAGAAAAGGAAATTATAAGTTCAGTTTTTAATCTGTTTTGAATTGTGAGACTTTCAAGAAGACATGTCTAACAGATAATCGGCTATTTGAGTCTGAAGTTCAGAGGAAGGATAGGGCTGAAGGACAAAAAAGATGGATTTGGTGGTAATCAGTATGTAATCAGTACTAAAAAGCAAGGTAATGGACAGAAGCATACTGAGAGGGTGTGCAAATGTAAAAGAATACCCAAGCAAGAAAGAACAGAGAGAAATCTCCCTTGAGAGGGTTCAACAAAAGAAAGGCAATGTTAAAAGAGGATATAAACAAAATATTAAAAATATCATGAAAGTATAAATAGAATGAATAGATTTATTTTGTAAATCGTGAGAATATTTAAAACAGGGAAAACCCCTGAAGCCTAAAAGAGATTATTAAGAAAAATAAAAGGAAATATTAACTAACAGAGGGTAAACAAAGTCAGTTACAGACAAACCTACACCAATTAAAATGTTTATATTTTTATATTATAGATAAATTAGTGTATGAACAATTGAGGAAAATATAGTTTTGATTTCAAACAATATGGGAAAATAACACACTCTTCCACAAAAGTTCAAGTACACAACGCTATCAGTCTACTCAGCACAGACAAGCAATATTTTTTAAATCCACATAAGTAAAAATGTTATTTTTCACACTGACTGACAATCAGGCATAAATGACCTTTCTATCGTTTGCATCGCTGAGCTTACTCTAAACATTACCTGCATTGATACTGTGATCTCTTGAAGAGCAGAATCTGCTTCATCTTGCTTAGTTTTAAGTAATACACTTTGTTCTCCGGCTTTTCTGTTCAGTTCATCCACGAGAGCTTTAGCTTCATTTAGTTTAGATACACCAGCCTACATTAATAAAATGTTGATTGACAATATTAAAAGAAAAGGAATTTTATATACATACAGTAAACAAAGTCTATAAGAAAGAATCAAGCATAAATGTAAATGTGTACATATACTACATTTGCAAGTGGACTTAGGTATTTTCGTCTTGCTGATTATAATGATTTATTCAACTGTGTACTCATTAAGATGTAGTAAAAGACTCCACAGAGGCTTTAGAGAAAGATAGATTTTAAAGCATCACAGTAAAGCTGAACGGATCAACATATATTAGATATTAGATAGCTTAAATAGTAGGGTTTTTACTCACTGCATTAGACAGGAAGGAAAATAGAAAAGAAAAAAAATTCTGTAAACCCTTCCCATTTTTCAGTCTCATTGGTTGGGCAGAAGGACTCAGGGGCCACTCTTTTTATATTGGACGTGACTTGGTTTGTCTGTCCACTACCCAACTATTTTATAAGAGACTGCCTTACAAATGGGTCTGGTAAGCAATCACTCAAAATGCTTCAGCTATTCTTTGGGTGGGTGGTTGACCATGGCCATTATAACACGCCTGGCCATTATAACACCCCATTCCACAGCCCATGGATAATCCAAGGAATAAACATGAAAAATATTCCCTCTCTTCTTTAATATGATTGGGTTTTTGTCACATAACAAATCAGAAGATTTGGAAAGATAGTAATGGCAAAAAAAAAGGAATGTAAATAGTATTTACTGAGCACCCAGCACAGAGGACAGGCATCACGCTGGTTCTTTACGTTTGAATTTTATCTAATGTACTCAACACATTCACCCAATTAAGCTGCAACTCAGTCAGTTTAAGTGATTTACCTGAAACACCATAGAGAACTAAATCAGGAAATTACCCCTCCAAAGCATGTAGAGTTAGTGGCTTAATATAAATGAAAGTGAATCATTAGAAAGAAGAATAAAGATAACTCTGCCAATTAATGTTCCTAGTTTACGACCCTCACAAAGAGAAGCAAGAACTTGGCAGAGGAAATGCTCTCTGACAGAATCTGAAGCTGACATTCTAATACCATGCTTAAGTTTAAGCTCTGCAGTTAGAGAAATACAAAAAGAAAACTGTTCAGAACGTACCAAGTCAAGTGACATGGATAAGAAGATGTTTATAAAATATAATTTTAAGAATATATTTTAAAAATATAATTATAAATATAATTTAAAGTTTATTATAAAGCATAATATTGGATATTACGTGTTAATTAATAATAGGCATTTCTGATTTCTAAAACACATTTATATGAAAAAGACATTTAAAGACAGCACCATAAACTATCAAAAACACATAAATACCATGTAGTGAAGAAATAATTATTCAAACAAAAAAAAAAATTACAAAACCATTACTATAATCTAGTGGGCTATAAAGACAGGTAAGTGAGACAGTTTTCCAAGACATTTAATACAGTACAATATTTATTTATATTAAGTATGGCAACATGGCATTGTGATTTACATAATCCTTGTCCCCTATGTATAGATAAAATAATTTAAGATTACCAATATTGTACCTGCAAATGACTTTGTCTTTTTAATAATTCCTTTCTCTTGCTGCTATTAATGGCAGAATACACACGTAAAAAGGTCATATAGCGGCTTGGTGTAGCACCATATGCTTTACAAGACTCGTGGATTAATAAAAATGATTTTAGAAAATCAGGATCAACTAGAAAGAGAAAAAAATGACTTAATATAAGTACGATCCATTAAGAATTAGAGAAAATGAACTTAACTATATTTATTCTTGCCAGATACTTCTAAGCAATGAAATTATAAATATGAGATAACATCTTTGCCTTAAAGGTACACAGGCATTCCTATCCATTCACAACTTCCATTTTTCTTATTAATTTTGTATTATTAATTTCATTGGTCTCTATCCTTCCACTGTAATATATTTCCCCTGACAATTTTTATTACTGCAAGAAAGATAAATCTATAGCTTGTCATAACATATAAATTAACTGGAACTACATAACATGTAATCCAAAAGTAAGCTCACTAAAAGCTACTTGAATGGAAAAGAGATACCAAACCAAGTAACACCTATCCACTCTTACTTACACAGGGAGAAACAGGACTTCAAAAGCCAAAAAATTAAGAACAAGTTCCCATTAGATCCAATATATACAAGACCAAACATACCGTCTCCCTCTCGTGGTCTCAACCTATTTCCCTCTGTATTCCCTACCTCAGTGAATAAAATCAACTTCTAATGAATTTTCCAAGCAGAACCCTGAGAAATATTCTTGCATCCTTCTTCCTTGCATTCAACAGCCATTACATAACCAAGTCGTCTTTAGATTACCTCCTAATATCTCCCCAATTCCATTCCTTCCTCTTAGATTAGAAGGCAATAGCCTTCTATACTGGTCTACAGTACCTCTGGTTTCTCTGTACACCAATCTATTTTTCATAACTGAAGAAAGGGGTACACGCAGAGACTTACATTTCTAAAACAAGCCTCTGGTTACATCTCTACCAAAAATCTCTCAATTATTCCAAATCACCCACAAGTCAGAATCCAAATTCCTTCTTTAGCATGACATGGAAGGCTCTTCCTTACCCAACCCTGCCTACCTTTTTCTCTTCATCTAGTACTCTACTATTTATTATATCCTATGTCTTAGCCCTTCAGTGTATTTATAGTTCCATAAAAATGCCTATTTTATTTCTTCAAGCCTTTTCCATGCTAGTCACTCTAACCAGAATGACCTTCCCCAAACTGCCCGTCTGGGCAAAGTGCATTTCCTTTAGTATCTGCTAGGTAGAGGCTTTACTTTCCAATGTACTTCATATAAACTTCTACCATCACTTATCCTGCTATACCAAAATTTTATGTTTATATATAACATATTTCTTGCTACCACTAGATTATCCTAAGTCATCTCCAGTATCCAGTCCAGTACCTAATATAAAACAAGTTCAATAAATATTTAATAATTAGATGGTTAGATTAAATAAATGAATAAATATGCTATGGTATAAAAGAAAAAGACCACAGTCAAAGTTAATGTGGAAATGGAGAAAATAAAGAGAACATTATAGTTAAGAAAAATATTACGTCCATACTCAAAGAATCATAACACAGTTTTGCATATGAATTGAGTGCTTTGACATACCTAAGTGATAAGCTAATATGAAAAGTTTAGGCTATTAGCCCAAAACCCTATATAAGTAAGTCCTTTAGATCATTTGGGTCAAAAATGTACATTTCTAATGTCTTAATTTTAAACAACAGATATGCTGTTAGGTCCTATATGAAATGACATAAACATTAGTTTTAAAAAAAGAGGGCTTAAAAGTTTAGTTTGCATCAAAAAACCTAACTTAGTTAGTTTAGCATTATTCCAGTTCATAATCATCATGAATCTTTAATGGATCTATAACATTAGAAATCAGGAATTATTTCATCAATAAAAATCAGATAAAGTCAATTTCATCAAAATACTACCTGAGTTTTTTTTCTTTTCTTCTTTTCTTTTTTTGTCGCTATATTTTTCTTCACCATCTGTTTCACTGAATAACATTTCAGGTATCTAAAATAGGAAGAGCATTTCTTTAAACCTCAATTCAGTAGGAAAAAAGTTTAAGTAAATCCAATATCAGAGGTTAAAAAACCTTTAACACACACACACCCCAAAAAAAGAAAAAAAGAAACAGTCTCAATTGGACTTTTCTTCTAGGATTCTTTAGAGGACATTATTTCCTAGTCAAGATTTTGTCACATATCAACCATTAATGTATTGCAAATTAATAGCACATAGAAAAGCTTCAACATCTCGCTTGAAAAATGATTAGAATTTTTGAAATGAAGAAAATCACATTTTTGATTGAATTAGAAAATAATCACAGATGCCATTTAAAATAGTAAAATAATAAAATAAATGTTTTATTCGGCATCAAACTAATAAAATGCCTTCATGGCATAAAGGAATAGGAAGGAAGCTTAGCTTTCTTAAATAAGAAATAACTAAAACTAAACAAAAATAATTTCATAATTGATAATTAACATAACTGCCATCAACATAATTGATAATTCTAAAAACTATCTATTGTCTATAGCTAGGTTTTTGCCACTATCACAAATAAGAAAATAAAGTTTCATGAACAGATATCATCATTATTAAAGAAAATATTATAATCTTATAAGAATACTATTTCAAAATATACAAAAAAAATTTTTAACTCTATTTCTGGGAAAAAGAAAATAAGTAGAACTCTGAAATTTTAAAATTAAGCCAAAACCTTCAACTTCTTTCATCTGATACAGTTAATATTCCTAACAAGAGGAAGTACAAGTAATCTAGGTAATTAGGTCAAAAAATCATTTTCTGAAATTCTCAGACTGAATAAACCATTAAGCCAAAAGATTCCTTAACTAATGGAAAGTTTGAAAGTGCCATGGTTCTTGAGCCAAAGAACATTTATTTTTTCAAATACCTTCACTGATTTCTGAAAAAACACTTAAGCAACTGTGAGAATATTTTAAATATACACTTTTAAATCAATGGAAATTTGTTTCTTTGGAAACTTACTTTCTTGAAAATTTTATCCCTTATATTAGTTAGCGGGATTGTGGTAATCATTTCACAACATAAAAATATACAAAACAACATGTTGTATACCTTAAATATATACAATTTTATGTGTCAGTTATACCTCAATAAAGTTGGGAGGGGTAGGAAACATTCTATCCCTAAACGATATTCTACATTAGCAAAGTTTTCCTGCCTGGATTTACCCACATTCCCCTTTGCCTCCACTCTCCCTCCTTGGGGATAAAAATGGCACTTTCTAAAAAGAATTGAATAAGTATATTAACCCTATTAATTCCTATTAATACCCTGACCTCTCGATTCCTTGAATTCTTCTCCTTCTGTTTTCTATCACCTTTTTCCCGGCCACTCACCCCCACTTCAAAGGGTCACACCCTGATACCTTGTCACTAACAGCAACTGCAATCATTTCATAATCTCACTTTCAAATATCCCACTCTTCTACCACTACACTCCTGTCTTCCCAGCTCATTCCATTTGCAATGTCAATCATCCTCAGACTCCACCAAGACCTACAATCTATTAATTTAACAATCTTTATACTGTCATTCACCATCTTCCTACCATAATTTCTCAGCTCCCTTGGCCTTCACTTGCTTTGTCATACTCGAGTAGCAAAGCAAAGCCCCAATCCTGGTTAAATGCAAGTCACCACCTATTGAAGGTCTGCACCTATGAGTGCACATGTAACTGGAGAAAAAACACACAACTATGCTGATTGGCCTCACTGAACTTTATAATCACTAACCTCACGTGAACCCTTAATGCTACCTAGCTATTATACTCCATTCTCCTAAACCTTTCACTCTTTCCCCTTCCAAACTACTATTTTGCATATCCTCTAATATCTCTTCAAGACTCCAAAATCTGTTCCCTCAACTTTTCTCTCAATTGATAATCTTACCTCCTATTTCATTGGGAAAACAGAAACATCCAGAAGTGTCCAAAACTTCCCATACCACACTTGCCCACCTACTTGGAACTGTGCCCCTGTACTCTGCTTCCCTTCCTGTTATTAAGGATAATGCTTCCATTCTACAAGCAAAGGCCTATCCTTAATTGTTTCATTTGTGCAATAGACCCATATGCTGTCTACTACCCAAGGATGTTGCTCTAGCAATTTTCCCGTCTTTCATGTAACATACATGTTTTGCATCTTTTTTGCATTCCCAACAGTGTATGAAAATGCTACAGTTTGTCTCAACTTAAAATTTTTTTAAAAAAGAAAGCAAGCATTTTAACCCCCACTTCCTCCAGTTACTGACCCATTTTTATCTTCTACTTCATAACAAAATTCCTCAAAAGAGGCAACCATATTCACTCTCCACTCTTCTCATTCTTTCTGAAACACGTCAATATGTTTTTTCTCCACTACTAACTGAAACTGCTTTATCAAAGTCACTAATGAACGCCATGCTGTTAAATGCAACGATCAGTTCCCAGGCCTTGTCTACCTTCATGTGTCACCATTCATCCTTCCTCACTCCTTTGAAATGCTGTCTTCACTTGGCTTCTAGGCTTCACTTGTCTACACGCTCTCCTGCTTTCCTATTTCCCAAGCAGTTCCTTCTCAGTATCCTTTGCTGGTTCCTGGTCTTCATCTCAACCTCTTAATGTTGAAGTGCCCCAGAGTTCGGCCTTTGCATCTCTCCTCTCTTTGCCAACATTCACTTCCTTAGTGATATTTTTTTCTCACAGTTTTAAATGCCAGCTATACTCTGATAATTCCCACAATTTTACCTGTATGCCTGACCTTTTCCCCGTTCTCATATATCCAAATGTCTTCTCAATCTTCCAGCTCAGATGTCTAACACCTCATATTTCACACATCTAAAACTGAAAACCTCATATTCTCCTCCCAAAATGTTCTTCTCAAAGTCTCCCCTCAACTGACAGGTATTCCATCCTTCCAGGTGCTCAAGCCAACAGACTTGGAGGTATCCTTAACTCCTCACTTTCCCTTACACCTTATTACAATTTGTCAACAAATCTTATCGTTTCTACTGCAAAACATACCCAGTATCTACCACTTCTCACCACCTCTACCACTACATCCTGAGAGCAAGCCATCCTCGTCTCTTGCTGAATTACTCAATAGCTTTATGACTGCTTCCTCCTTGTCTTCTATGGTCTATTTTCAGCTCAGAAGCCAGAGTATTACCATTAAAACATTAGAATAGTTTTGCTCAAAAGCCTCCAAGGGATCCCTTACTTGTTTCCAGGAAAGCCAAAATCCTTATAATAGCGTCCAAAGCCCCACCCTAACCTTTCTCTTACTTCACTGACCTCATCTGCAACTACTCTCCCCTTTATCGCTCTGTTACAAATGAACTGGCTTCTTGCTGATCCTCAGAATCACCAGGCATGCTCTCATCTCAGGTTCTTCACCTAGAAAGCTTTCCCCCCAAATATCCCCCAAAAGAGTGTAAATTCCATGAGGGCAGGGACTTTTGTCTTTTTCTCTGCTATATCCCCAATATATGGAATAGTGGCATGTATTAGGCACCCAATAATTACTAATTCTTAATGAATACCTCTTGTTCATTGGCCTCCACAGACTAGAATAACTTTCCTCTCCTTTACCTACTTACTGAAATCTAACTAAAATATCATCTCAACTCTAAAACCTTGTCTATTATCTCAAATTACACTCCTTCCTCTGAATCATGACAGGCATTAGTCTGCACTTCTACTATACAAAAATAAAGAAATGAATGATTGGGAATATGAGTATCATTCAAAAAGACAATATTGAAAATTATTATTAATTCAAATGAAGCAATATAAAAGGCTTCCAGCTGAGACGGTGCTATGAGTTCACAATTTAAACTCATCCCCCTCTGAACACATATCATAGCAATAACAGATTTTTTAAAAAGCATCTAAATTTTAATTTAAACAACAGCTAATATTATTGCTGTGATATTTTTATCATAAGCTAGCCTATAATAGGCTAAATAATGAAATGGATAAAATTTTTAAGGTACAATAATATCTCTGTGGTCCTTAATTAAGAACATAATCTTCCACCTAAAATTCTATACTCAACTAAACTATCAAATACAAGACTATGAAGAAAAGAGTTATTTTCAAACTTATGAGAGATTTTCAGTGCCACAATTAAGGTAATATTATAATAAACACCAAAGGGAAGTTGTGACAATCAATAACTTTAAAAAAATGTGCTCACTTTTTACTTCCATATTTAAACATTAAACTTACTTTCTTCATACTGCTATGTGACCAACCCTCCATCCACAACACCTGGCATTTCTTATGCAAAGCAGGATTACTCTCACAGTTTATTATGAAGTTTAAATTTGCAGAATCCATTATCAAGACAATATGCAAGTTTTGTTGAATTCCTAAAAAATAAGAAAATTATACTCTTGGAATATTACAATAATAATAATTGAAGAAACCTATATATGGTCTGGTTTTATGAAATTAAAATGTTTTGAAATGGGATGGTAGGAGCTGTTTATAAAAAGAACAAGCTATGAAACAGTATTACAGTATAATTTTTATTTTGGTTAAAAAATACGTGTGTGTGTGTGTGTGTGTGTGTGTGTGTGTGTGTGTGTATGCTAGGATAAAAGATCTAGAAAGGTATGATACTGCTGTTACTTTTCAAACATGACACTGGATTCTATTTTGTAATTTTTCTTTCAAGGATTTTTGTTTCATTATTCACAAGCAAAACTGATCTCTGGTTTTCTTTTAGGAGAAATACCTTTCCCTTCTTTCAATGACAATATCATTTTCCCTTTGTAAAAAGGATTTTGGACACTTTCCTTTATTTTCTATGTTGGACACTTTCCTTTATTTTCTATGTTCTGAAACAGTTTAAAATAGCATTGAGATGATCGGTTTCTTAAAGGTGTAGTAGAATTTCCCTGTAAACTTGAAGTGGACAGAAGGGAGGGTAGCTCTTTAACAACTGTCTCTATTTCATCAATAATAAATGTTCTTTTAGAAAAATAAAGATCAATGTAATAGTCACGTCTGGGTGCTGCCATCATTGCCTTATTTTTTGTTTATCAATTTTAGATATCTACAGTGCACATGAAACTACTTCTGCAGTAATCAAACTTTCTTTAGTTCCAAAAAAATAACACTACAGAGTCTGGCACAATCTAAATAGTTCAATAATTCTCTAACATAGGAGGTACTAAAGCACAAATTTCACCACATGGAAACAAAGGCAACAAAGTAAATATTCCAAAGAACATTACCATACTTTCACCCTTCCCTTTCACTAAAATTTTGCTAACTTGTTTTTATTATAGGTTAGCCTTTATGCTACTTATTTGCTAATGAGAAAATAATGCAAATTAAATGGTATTTATTTCATATGAAACATAGTTTAAATTGATTAACGAATTCTATGGCACTTACTATATGTGAAGTAATTGAAGACTGGTCCAAAAAAACCATCCTGTGAAGCCTGATCTTTAAGAGGCAACAGCAAGGGCTCTAATTCTTCAAGAGTGTAGAGTCCAGGAACTTCACCTACAGAACATTACATTTCTTTTGAGTTTTACCTGCATTACACTAATTCAAAACACATTTTACACACACAATGCTTCTTCTATTTTTGTAATCAAATAATCTGATGTTATTCAAGCTTTGTTTTCAAAAATAAACAAACCCTATCACCCTCTATATTATTCACAAATCTACATCTATAGCCTTCAGTTGATTAAGCAAACCATTAAAGACAGTTCATAATCTAGCCATCTATCTGCTTTTCCAAGTCCTTCTCTACCCCAACCCCACAAGACCTTGTATTCTAGCCTCAATGAACTTCTTTGTGTTCTAAAAATTTAATGAAATACTCCCTCTTCCTGGAATATTATACCCACAGTCTTCCTCTGCCCCTTATCTTCCCCTAATATTATTGTTTATCCCTCAAGACACTACTTTGTCAACTGCTATATCCATGAGACTTTCCTGAATACCCACATGCTAGGTAAAGCATTCTTTTCTCTTGTGTATAGTATCCAAACATCACTGTTTAGCATTTACCACATCATTTAATAATGAATGAATTACTTCCCTTTCCTGCCCAATTAGATTCTGAATTCCCGGAGGGCGAATATTTGATCATGATCAATATTAACCTTAGGGCATTCTTAGCAAGTATCTAAAACATAAATATTTGTTAAATAAATGAACAAATGAATTATCAAATGAATGAATGAACTTGTACTAGAAATCAGGAGAACAAGTCATGGCCTGCTACTATACAACAGAATGATGAAAGTCAAATCAAAGGTGATTAAGACTATAAGAATTTGATAGAGGGCTTGAAGCTTGTCTTGTTCACCACCATAAATCCAGTTATTTAATAAATATTTGTTAAACCAACATATTTGTAATTCACAAGAAACTGTAAGATTACATGAAAATTCTTTTGCTGCATTCATGTAGAGCCCAACATAGTTTGAATCCCTACTTTTCTTTAGGTTAATCTCAGAGGTACCAGACTGCTCCCCAACCACCAAGGATGTACATATTCAAATGCATACACACATAAATGTGCTCTATGTCTTCCTCTAAACTTCAGCCATATCAAGATACCCTTGATTTCTTAAATTTGGTAAAGAAAGCTAGCTCTATTTACATATTCTATAGGGAATAAGAATTTGAAATACAAAAAAGAGACAAAAAGGCCTATTAAGTACTTTCTCTGAAAGTATTTTTCAAATACTTTTTTTGCCAAAAACGTTGTCAAAATTTAACCTTACCAAAATTTAACTTTATTTATGATTTTTGCTATTATATCTTGATAAAAAGACCAATTTATCTTACAATAAAAATAATTACTGGGTTAATGCTTATCTGGATGTTTGCTTTCAGAAATTAAAACCAAAACAAAAATACAAAAACCCTGTATATATCTGGCCTACAAGTTTATCTCAGCCAAAATGAACAAGGTCTCCATCTAGTGACAATTTAAGCAATATGCAGGAATGTGCACCTTAAAAATCAGAAGAGATTATTTATAAAAAGGGCCGCAAACACTTCAAGCTTGCTCAAGACATACCACTTTCACTATACCATTTCCCTTTACTTTGACAGAAATTGACCTACCACTTGTGTAACTAGAGTCTTTCTCATTTGGGCACTAAAGTGTAGATACCTCACTTTATAAATGTTTCCTTCAACCAAAGCTGTTAAATTCTGAAAAAACAAAAAAACTATTTTATCCCAGAGTCTACCTAGCAGGATACAAAACAAGTATTTATTAAAACCTGAGTGGAACATGAGCATCATGCAAATTTTGTCCTCGGGTCCCTAGAATGGAACAATTCATATAGTTGAAACTAGTTTTTAACAAGGTTTACTTTGTACTTAAGTACCAAAATACTTAGTCCAAGTTTAAAACGAAGCTACCTCATACCAATTCTACTAACAGTGGTTATGCATTATAAGGAGATTATAATAAACTTCATAAAGTCTTCAGAAAAGGAAGAACTGCAGGAAATTGCAGGTATTCTCCTCAGGAAATCACCAAAAAGGTCAGGTGGCTCCAGAGACAAAAAGAGTACAACACAATTCGAGAAATATGAGACCTCATATATCTGAAATATATCTGCTATTATATAACCACATTTAAGGCCATATTATAATTATTCAATTTTTCCATTAATGATGGACAGTGAGGTTCTATCAAATTTTTATTACAAATTATACTACATATTTCCTTACATACTAGTTCTTTTAAAATTTATTTATTTCTTTATTTTTAGCTGTATTGGGTCTTTGTTGCTGCGCGGCAGGCTTCCTTTAGTTGCGGGGAGCAGGGGCTATTCTGCGGTGGCTTTTCTTGTTGTGAAGCACAGGTTCTAGGCGCGCAGGCTTCAGTAGTTGTGGCTCAAGGGCTCTAGAGAGCAGGCTCAGTAGTTGGGACGCACGGGCTTAGGTGATCCACGGCATGTGGGATCTTCCCAGACCAGGGCTTGAACCCGTGTCCCCTGAATTAGCAGGCGGATTCTTTTTTTTTTTTTCTTGCGGTACACGGGCCTCTCACTGTTGTGGCCTCTCCCGTTGCGGAACACAGGCCCCGGACGTGCAGGCTCAGTGGCCATGGTTCACGGGCCCAGCCGCTCCACGGCATGTGGGATCCTCCCGGACCGGGGCACAAACCCGCGTCCCCTGCAGGCGGTCTCTCAACCACTGCGCCACCAGGGACGCCCGAGCAGGCGGATTCTTAACCACTGCGTCACCAGGGAAGCCCAGTATAACACATTTTTTAAATAAGTACTGGTTGATAACTTTCCTAAAAGGTTATAACTTATAATAGTCCCACCAAAAGTGTGTTAAGAGGGCCAATTTTTCAGTATATTCATCAATATTCAATATTTAATCATCATTTTTATATAATTCCACAATCTTGGTTTTATAAAAACAGGGTTTCTCAGTTCTCCTGCTCTGAGCATGTTTAATGTTTAATCCCATGTCACCTTAATAAAAGCTATGCCAAGTGTTCTCTGAAACATAATTTTATATAAGATCACTTTCCTTGAATAATTTTTACATTACTTTTATTTTCTTTAAATAGAACCCATTTACTTGCCTGAAGACAAAAGGCTATTGATCATCTCCAAAAATGTAGGATGTACAAACTGATAATCCTCAAGAAGTAAAACTACTTGTTGTGCTTCAATACCTGCAAGATGTAGCACCTGCACAATAAGAAAACACATTTTGGTACACATTAAATATTTTTGGCACAGGTAAAAACTTTCATTCTGTATGTAAACTAAGTTGTTTTTATTGATTGATATTTGAGTAATCAAAATTTAGCCATATAGTCTAGAAAGTAAATCCACTGAATAATCAAAATTTAGCCATATAGTTTGGAAAGTAAATCCAGTTCATAAACAAATACTACTGGGAGGAAATTTAATTATTTTACATCTAGGACATTAAAATCTAGAGGATAATTTTTAAATACACCTACATATGTCCTAAATGCCATCTTTTTGTTTATCTTACCTATCCATATAACATCCCATAATCTGGGGTGCTGAGAGCTAAAAACATAATTTTGTAACAATTATGGAGAAAACAATCATCAAAATTAAAATAAAGACTATGTTGCATATCAGAGATTTAAAGGCTTTTTGAATAACTAACTGTGATTTAAAACCAAATAAAACAAAAGACTGTGAGTCACTCACATGTTTGAGATCAATTTTGAACTGCTTCAGTTCATATCCCCTGGAAATCTTTGGTGAAAACAGCACTGCTCCATGCATATGACTGACTAAAGAAGTGATGGTCCGACGACCTACACCACTGCATCCGGCTAACAGAAGTGAACCTCCAGGAAAACTCAGCACTCTGTCTATCCTAGACACATATTCCAGGACTTCTTGGAAAAGTAAAATATCTAAATTCTGGTTATCTCGTCCATAATGAATAAGACCCTTCAAAGATCACAAAGCATATTATATAATTAATATAAGTCCAAATTACATAATAAAATGTTAGTTATCTAGATTAAGAGATTATATTTTTGGTGCACTCAAGAAAAGGGGTTAAGTGTATTCATGTTGTTTCACACTCTTTTATCTATCCAGTAATCCAGCTTTATGGCACTTTGTAAGGAAAAATTTACATGATGTCAAACAAGTTCACGCGTCCACAACAGTCAGTTACTTTTGAACACCATTAATATAACTAGTAAAAAGCAGTGTAAGATAGCAGGTTAATTATAAAGACTTCAAAAGCTCTCAAATTTTTACCACTTGTTACACATCAAATCAGTGTGCACAGACTATAAAACAATCCCCAAACTCTCAAAACGTACTGCCTAAAGATATTTTGTGAACTCTTGTTCTTACACACAGCTCAGCAATGAACCAAAAGCCCACAAAGAGGTAGCATGCCCTGCCAGGAGCTATGTGATAGAGTGAAGAAAGAGAGAAAGGACAGCTTTCACATACTTAACAACTTTTGCACATTCCCAAACTTTTCAATATCCATTCCAGGCAAACAAATAAATTTACTAGACCATGAAAGACTTTTCTTGATATAAAATCCATACTAACTTCCACTATAAATATTAATTTTTAAAGTAATCATATATAATACTGTTTCTTTTTATTATAATTAATCTCAAAAACAAAACAAACAAACAAAACTCCATAGGACAGTGCTACTAAAAGTTTCAGTGAACCAGCAGCATCAACATCATTTGGAAGTGTCTCAGAAATTTGGATTCTCTTCTGATTGTTTTCAGATTCAGATTAGTACCTATTGAATTCAGATTTCTCTGGATGGGACCCAGCCATCAGTATTTTCTGGTTCTCAAAGTGTTTCTAATGCTCACTAAAGTTTGAGACCACTGCTCTAGAATGAGAAGTTAATATCATATTAACTGTTAATATAATATTAGCAGTTATATTTCCCAATTAATATTAAGCCTTTTTAATAGTTCCAACCTCAGATACCTTTTCCCAGCATGTATCCTAGCAATTTTACACTAATCTGTGTAAGTGCATGTGCACCTACTTAGATCTGCCACATTGGGCTAAATTCCAAAAGATACGAACCGCTTTTGCCTATTCTAAGATCTTTCACTTCATGCCCTCAAAAAACTTACAATAAATATTTTGAAAATGGCTTTAATCATAACCAAATCCCAATTCAAATTCATTATTCATATTATACCTTTTTAATAACATCCTTAAGATCTGCAGAATTTAGTTTTCCAAGTGGTTTTCCATGTGGAGGCAAAGGTTGTCCTGGGGCTGACCTTATTCCTGAATTATGTTGAGCTCCCCATGTAACATAGAAATTATCTGTAGAAATGAAAGATATTTTTGTTTTATGTGTGTTAATCATAATGGGAGCATCAGTAGATATATTTCACACTAAACTGTTTTTAACTTAATTAGTCCAAATAAGAACATCCCCAGAAAGGCAAAGATTAATTACTTTGAATTGGCAAATAAATAAAACAATCTCAAAATTATTCTTGAAAAAGAACACAGATTTACTAATATCATCAAGAGCCCTGACTTCTAAAATAAAAGAAAAATTAACCAAATTTTAATTAGAAAATAAAAATCCCACAAACTTCCCTTAAATTTATCTACAGCAGTGTTCCTGTTACCACACAAGGAAAATCTGTTCACCATTCTATTGAAGTTTCGCCTCCCAATTCCTCTGGGAGACTGTTCCATCAGTATCCACCTTGTCATATGCTGCGCTCAGCAAACCTTCCCTAGACCCCAAGCTACCTCATGTTCTTCTTTCCTTCTCCATCATATTTCTCACATTATCTTCTACTTGCCAAAACCACTATACTAAACTCTTATTTGGGAACAACAATGCTACCCTAATTGCGAAATCCAAACCTTCATTGTAGTCATTATCCCAACATGACTTGTGTGCATCTCCTTAATGGAACTTTTTTCCTTGAATCTATATTACCGTGCTCATCAAGCCACAACCACTACTCCTTTTCAGTTTTCTATTTATCCCATATATATATATATATATATATATATTTTTATTTATTTTTTTTTTTTTT